ACTCCCGTAAACTAAACCATTGTTACTTATTGTTGTAAATGACATGATGGAATGTAAGAAAAAATGATGGACTGCTGAAGATGCGAGATATAAATGTTGATTAATAGATGTAGATATCAACATTGGTGAACACAAGTGAAGAATGATATATGTTCAAGATCAGCGGGACTGACTTCTCCAACCTAGACTATCTCATGATTTCATGAAATTGCTATTGGCAAATAAGCAGTCAGCTCATATTGTGGTAGGCAGAGGTGCATATTCGAAGAAAACAATCGTATATTGGAAGATATCCGTTTTAATTTTTCGGCAGAGATCAACATTTTGATACGAAGCTAAACTTATATGATGTCAGCGCAAATTATTTCTAAAAGGACTGTAGTTTTTCTTTGGTAGTTGACGGTAGCAGCTAATGGAATCTAATATCCATGCTGCATTTACAGCCTCATTGAACATATGTCCATGATGAAAAAGAGTGTCTCGAATATCGTATATTATTATAGCGCCCTTTGGTAGATTGTCTGAGCCTTCCCACACAATGCCATCTCCATATCGTATAAGAGAAATGAGTTCGTCTTTGGATGGCCCGTAGAAAGTGCCCCAAAAAGTGACTTCTAAACCTTGAAAAAGTCCAGGTTCCTAAAAGTAAGATGTCATTAGACGACGTGCGAAAAGAAGCAGGAAGGAATATACAAGACAATTGATTACATTGGCTGCCTTAGCTTGCCGAGCTATCCGTGGTATCGATGTGCGGTCGCTCGCTTCATCTCCATCAACTTCGTCTTCATCTTCCGTAACAAACCTTCCAGCAAGTTTACATTTCTCTAACCCTTGCAAATATCATTCAAATTCAATATATTGTCACTCGTCTGTACTGGTGCAGCCGAGCATTCACTTACAAGCTTTGTCCACTATCCATATTCCGCAAACTATGCCTTGCAAATATTTGAGAGTTCTTCTCGCCAAATTCTTTTGATCTTCATACAGTATTGAAGTTAGATATAAACCGAGCATTTATGAAATCCATTACGCCAAGATAACTGACCAGCTGTGGTAACAATGTGTGTCACTTCTTGTGAAAATTCGTTGACCACACGACCTTTCAAGGTTCGCACGATGCTATTAAGTTCCGTTTCCTAAATATGGTCAATTGATTAGCTTTTTATACGCTCCAATGACGACAGCGTGAATGTGTATGCATACAGCAAAAGAAGGAGGAAGATGTGTTGCCAAAATCACGTAACATTCTACATTCGATGTTGGACGTCGCCCGATTGCTGATTTCCAAAAATTTGGCGATGGTTCTGTATCTGCGTCAAGCGATAAATCTGAAAATTGGGATGTGTAGAATGTTGGACGATCAGCTCCACCAACGCTTTGTGATGGTGGTAGTGAGTTATGATGGCTTTGATTTGTCAATTCAGGTGATGATGCTACAGCTGGAATGAAAATGGTTCTCAATGGCATGAAGTGTAGTAGAAATGGATGTCTAATGTAAGGCAACCTACAGTGACTTGCAACCTGATGAGCCGAAATTTGGGTTGCATCCGTATCTTCAATGGTGAATCCTCCTATTGGCAAATCGATATCATTCATCTCAGATGGTTCTTCTAGTATCTCTTCAAACTGATTTGCCGTTATGCTATCATGTTCTACCCCTTGATTCTGGAAAACGGTAGCAGCTGCAAGAGGACATTGTCAGCTGATTGTTATACACGATCGAACGAGTATGATATTCAAAGAGAGTTTTATCATACATGTACTTGAAATAGCATTGGGTTCATTGTCATTGCCGTAAGTAGTATAACCACTGTGATCATCCTTCGTAGGATAAGGATATTTTTGAGTTAAATGTGTATCTGGTTGAAGCTGCCATTGCGAACTGTGTATTGGTTCTTGGGATATAGCTATAAAAGGCGAAATGTGTCAGCTATCCACAGAGAAATCAATCCTTCTGGCTGTTGAAGCATACCTTGTCCTGTCATTTCCTCATATGCTGTCTGAAGTTCCTGAAAATTTGTGACAACCTCGGCTACTGATGGCATAGGGTTTAATTGTCGCCTTGTCAACCCATGCTTGCACAGTGGACATCTTGCTAAGGTCTCTAGTGACCTTAAAATACAAGCTTTGCAGTACGTATGTAGACAAGGTGTTAACATAGGTTCGTCATAGTAGCTTAAACTGAATATATGATAAGTCACACTTGGCGGCCGGTGGTAAAGGTAAGAGGTAACGACATACCAAATGGGACAAACTAGTTCGGAAGCCATTCGTCTTAGCAATCCGCTAGCATCATTTGGCAGATCTTGAAAACGAATTTCGCTCATGACAGGCTACATGAATGAATGAGTTAAAATTGATATTGGAATGAATCAATTTTTTTATTGAAGGGCGGGGACCACTATGACCAAAAATCGCGTTATTATAAGCTACCCTTCAGATTCAGTGTCATCTCCAGTAAATTCATCTTGTTCACTTTCCGGTACATCAACTCCTAATTCATGGGCTATGGTCTCGTCATATGGATGTCGTACGAGTTGCAAGTATGTTTTGTTAGGCAGGATATCAATTAGTTGAAAGGCAAGGTTAATGGTGGAAAGAGCGTCTAAGGGAGGTGGCGATCTAATCAAATGTATAGGGCTATAAAGACAGATCAGTAACAAAAGAGATGTTACTAGTAACAGGGGAGCAGTTGATGCCATACCTTGTTGACGATAATATCTTAGTTCGACGCTTTACCAGCTGAGCAAGATTGAACAAGATATTCAAATGGACACCAAAGGCGATCATCACATCCCAGAGATGAAGTACTTCCGAGAATGGCTGGACCGATGCTGATAACGTTGATATTTCTTTTGAATGGGTAAATATATAGGTATCCTTTTACAACATTTCAAATCGCATTTGTACCTTTGAAAGCAAATATATCAGCTGTTAGCCCTTTGCCACGAAGATAGCCCGACAATTCAGGATCTATTATCTTCAGGCATACATCCAACAGCTTGGTGAAGCATAGAGTTATTTGAAAGTATGTGCATCCATATAAAATTATGAACGGTCAATACTTACCTTGACGCCGCAGTGAGCACCGAGCAAGTTGGGTTGAGCGTACAAAGGACAACAGTGGCGGACAAAGGTAGTAAATGTGAAGAAAGCGTCCAGCTCTGGCAATATCATAATGAATGGTACAACCAGGAAGCTCATGGTATTTACATAGGCGAATCTCCAGTGTGCTGGTTGATGTCTTAACAGCAGTTTAGATATAAAAACGGTAGCCGTGCTTGTCAAAGTTGTCTTCTCTACCGTAATGAGGTTAAATATCATACTTTCTCTTAAATTTTTTCAGTCTACAATTAAATACTAACCTGCATGTAGCCATATAAACGAGTTCAGCACCCTTTGCATCTGCTTAAGCGTTCCTTTGTAAGAATCCGTACCATCGTCGAAAAATGATATTGTCGAGTCATGTATAATATCCTTGTGATATTCGGATACGCCGTTTTCAAGCAAATCCTTATAACAGTTGGCCGATACGTAGTATACCTCTAGTAGAAGTTTCCATACCTTTTGACGATATTTCTAATCGGCGTAAAGTATAAGCTATCAGCTTTGGAAAATAAAATTGCTTCTTATCATATCACAACCTGACTAGAACCTAATATTGAGTTCTTGAAAATGAAGAAGCGCAGCTCTTCCAAGGTTTTCTTGATTTCGGCTTCTGTATTGTGTGATGCATGTACAAGATTTGATAACATAGGTTTTTTGACCTCAAGTAGTGTATTATCTCTGGAGTTATTATTATTAAATGATGGTATGTGCTTGTATTTTTTGGACATAGTGAAGGGAAAGACAACATGTAAGACAAAGAAACAAGCATCAATAAATACGAAATTGAAGCGCTCAGCAAAGTAATTTGCTTTGGGTAACCTTCCAAAAATAACTGTATCAACTGCCATCTTGAGAGCATACTCTGTTCGACGAGGTTACTCGACAACAAGTGCATCACAGCGTCATTATAAGAGCAACTTTTGGCACTCATTGTGCTGTTGACAACTTAAGATATGGCATCCGTCAATTGTTGAAAGGTTGCCTCTGATGCTGTAAATTACCAAATAGCATGCTATTAGCAATGGCAGGCTCTAATGCGTGGATTACATCTACGGACCCATCATTTGTCGTAATTCATGCGTGACCTTTGTCTTGGAGGTTGGTTGCCATCATCACCTTCCCTCTTCATCGGCAATGCTGAGGAATCCGTATCTTGAAAGTCTGACGGTCTCTCTTGCATTGAACCGGGTGATGGCCTATCAGGTTGATCCCTGTCTCGAAAAGCTCTACGTCCTCGACTACCACGTTTTCCACCTCTATCTCCACGACCACCCCTACTAAAGCCACCTCTTGGGGAATTGGAAGACGACGATGGTATCACTGGGGATGGAACCTGCTGATATGGATTGAATGGGCCACTTGAGTTGGACGATGTTTTTGTGTGCTGAGTATTAGCTTGAGGAAACTTTGCAGGATTGATCGCCGCCTGTTTCCCCCCTCCTTGCCGCACGTTATTATTCATGCGCTGTTGTTGTGTATATGGAACGTTGCCTTGCGTCGACTGCGCATTAGCGTCACGCAGTTCTTCGCTACGATTTGGCTTGTCATTGTATAAAAATGTGTCACGGCCAATTCTCAGAACATGTCCTGAACGAGATAAGGTTAGGTATGGAAATCCTAAATAGAGTCGAATTTCACTGTAGGAAAGCATGTCGTGTTGCTTATGTTAGCTATCTCCTCCTCAAAATGTAGTTTATCGTTTATAAGGCGACTTACGCGTCATGAAGGTGGACAATGTCTCCTTCAGCCAAGTATTCTCCATGCTGTCCCCATATCTTCATGACTATAGATCCTGTTTCATCTGCTACAAGGAACCGCCATATCGTGTTTCGTTGACCACTGACTTCAGGCTCAGGATCTAGACAGTAGAATAAGAGATGTCAACATAAACACGATGGCGAGACTGTTAAAAGCTACTAAGACTGTACCTTTGCTCAAAATGATGCCATCGAAGGGAAAATTTCGACTCGTGTTTTCTATTTCTCTGACTTTTTTCTGTCCGTAGATGTCTTTTGTTGTCATTGCTGTTATATGAAACGCATGGTCTACTGTAACATACGTAATGACACTACGTTCAAGCTGTTCATACTTTCGGTCAAAAGGACTCCGCGAGCACGTGACTTCTTTCAACCTTCTGAAGAACCGAGTATACGGGGTTACCAGGCCGAGAACATAGGCGATAGGCAATATATAGTAGTGACCAATCATAGCTAGTCATCATAAGGAAGTTTTGCATAGATACATGTAACAACTACAGAAGATATGATTGCTCATGAGCGGTAGGTTTAGAACTTATCTGCATCATACAGGATAACATGTTGATAGAAATCAAGAGACTCGACATTTTACGGAGCTGTAGCATGAGTCCAACAGAAATAACACTGCGAGTTCAGCGAACAGTACTCTGACTGAAGCCCCCCAATTCGTCAATTTGGTGGGTATCCAACTTGTCCAAGTCAAAATTGATTTCCCGCACTTAAATTCTCACGCTCGCGAGGGAGCTTTCAACCATACCTCTTCAGAGCATCTCGTCTACTTGAATAAAAGACTGTTGAATGTTGCGCATTCTCAAATCAAAAGCTCCCAACAGCTGTTTCAGACTAACTTCTGCTGCTTTTCAGGTAACGAACATACGCAAATAACCTTGTAGTTACGTGCCTAGAACAAACCTAACTTTTCAGTTTTCAGTCACAAAGACGACTCTATGCTGACCAGCCCCCTCCGGCCGAAGGGTTTCTTCCGGGAGTTGCAGACTCCAAGCTACTTAAAAGAACGCCAGAAGAAGCACTCAGAAATCCAGAACTGGCCGCTCTGAGTGCTGCGAACGGTAAGGAATACTACCTATGAATAGTCGAAAAAGAGGAATGACTTGTACTAATGGTGTTTATCTTAAATAGGAGAGACAGAAAAGATGAATTTCTTTCAAGCTATTAATAATGCTCTTTCAACTGCCTTAGCTACAGACGAAACCTCAGGTATGTATTGCGATCTTAATGAATATCGTAATGTAGATACTGATCCGTCTCCGCACGATTGGCAGTTGTCTTTGGCGAAGATGTATCTTTTGGTGGTGTATTCCGAGCCACATCGGGATTGGCTGAACGATTTGGTCGCGACAGAGTGTTCAACACGCCTATAACTGAACAAGGCATTGTAGGATTTGGCATTGGAATGGCTGCTGTCGGCCACACTGCTATTGCTGAGATTCAGTTTGCGGACTACATTTTCCCCGCGTTCGATCAAGTATGCATCACAGCTGTCGTATAATTCTTCAATCAAGCGTTCCAATATACCAACTTACCTTCATTATGAATTATAGATTGTCAATGAAGCAGCAAAATATCGTTACCGGTCCGGTGGCATATTCAATGTTGGCGGGCTAACCATCCGTACTCCTTGCTCCGCTGTCGGACATGGTGGACATTATCATTCGCAGACCCCTGAAGCCTTTTTTGCTCATTGTCCTGGCGTAAAGGCAGGTCTCACCACAGTGTGAATTTCATAAACGTCCCTTCCTCACTAATTGTTTTTACAAATAGATTGTCATGCCTCGTAGCCCTATACAAGCAAAGGGACTTTTGCTAGCTTCCATTCGTGACCGCAATCCCGTTATATTTCTAGAACCCAAGATCCTCTATCGTGCTGCTGGTAAATACAGATACATGTTTGACATGCTTTACTTGGCATACCTTAACATGTAACTAACGCAATCTCATTATTATAGTGGAGGAAGTACCCGTCAGCGATTACGAACTTCCACTTGGAAAAGCTGAAGTATTGAAACGAGGCAATAATGTCACCGTGGTTGGGTACGGTACACAAATTTACAAACTGGAGAACGCCATTCAATTGGCCGAAAAGCATATACCTGGTTTAAGCTGCGAGCTCATTGATCTTCGAACGATAGTTCCATTGGATATCGATACTATCTGTGAAAGTGTAAACAAAACTGGACGACTTGTCATTGGGCATGAGGCACCAAAGACAGGAGGATTTGCTGCAGAAATCACCACTGCTGTAATGGAACGCTCATTCTTACGACTAGAGGCACCAATTCAACGTGTTTGCGGATGGGATACACCTTTCCCGCTTGCGTTTGAAAAGTTTTATATGCCTGATATGATTCGGTGCTATGATGCAATTAAGAAAGTGACTGAATATTGACAAAAATTATTGATAGACTTTCTTGTTTTCGTAATTTTCGTTCCCGCTTTTTTGATGATACGCGCGTAAATTTTGTCATAAAAACGTCTTAATATTTCGAAGCTTGTCACAGGTGGTCCCAACAGAGCTTGAAGTGCTATGGCCCACAGACATATTCGCAGAGGAGCAAATGAAGAACAAGACGCTGCTCAGCTGAAGTTGGGTGAAGGTAACATATGAGCCACTAATAGTGATTGACTAAAGAACTACCACTGATCATTGGAAATCTCAAATCATTCTTCTCAAAACATCTTTGATGACCTCGTTCACGAATACTCACCTAATTACTTACATGGGACTCACAACTTACCCTGTAACCAACCGACTTTATACAACTTGCTACTTTATTTAGAATTTCAAAATGCCCACTGCCTTTTCATATCTGAATTAAATATTCTCCTGGAGGCTCAACGAGAATCCAAGGATCACAGCGGCGAAAACAGGCCACAAACGAAGTAAATGACAGCAACTTACAGTTTGATCCGAACCATATCGGTATCAGCTACCAAAGGAATTTACTAAAGTCGATTCTTTCTCTCTCTAGTGTGTTGCAAAAAACTGTAAGCTACGTCCAATCTTTCAGTCGATTCACAAACAGAGACTCGGTTCGAGAAGTTCGAGGGTGAGTCTTGCTTCCACCTACCGTCCTCAGTCGGTTGCTCTGGTATACCCGCCATTTTACTCAAATATGAATTTAGTTTACTGGCAAAGGACAGTAGCTTGTCACAGTTTGAAATTGCACAGCTTGCCAATTTGTGCTGCGATGATTCAGAGGAAGCAAAGGCTTTGATCCCGAGGTAAGTTCGTTGCACTTAGGTATGGAAGTATATAGCATACAAAGTGCTAAGGAATGACTGCGAGCAGCTTACACAATAAGATTGATGACGACCGGCTGCAAGAGTTGATGAATCAAATGCTTACCATCAAGAAGTTCCAAGGATAGTTTATCAATCTTAGTGCATTCTCATCACCTTATCGTGCGTTCAATAACGCTTTTAAAATGTACATTAATACAATGCAGTTAAACTTGAGAATATATACTGTGTACGCTTTATTCATAATGCTCTAGACAGCGCGGTGTGTAAGTATATGGCTGGTAAAGCCTGCTGTATAACCGTCGAACGCGAGGTTACGTCTACTTGGAGGATCGCAAGTTTGGTACCTTTTGCGCAACTCAACGCGAAGACAGGAGCCCTGCTAATATTGCAATGTTCAAGCTAGGATGTAGCACACGCTAGAGTTGATTCCAGTTGAACGCCCTCGATGAACCATAAATTTCACAATAGGGATGGCTCCACAAAATAACAAGACTCAGCAATATATCACGCGCTGTAACCTTTGAATATTGGTTAGATATTAATGAGGACGAGAATTCCCTATAGTATCTAAACAAATCTTACCCCAATACGTCTCTAAGAGCGAAGACACTAATGAGCGAGATCATGATCCAACTTTGTTTCAGCGTTTATTGGTAACTTTATAAGGAACGTTTGATCGCAAGATCCATATGGAATTTCGCGTTTAACATAAGAGATTTACGGATATTCAAGTTCAAGTTTATAGAAAAGCAACATAGCGTAGTTCACCATTTGCAAATGAACGTACAGGTCCCTTTTCATCGGTAGTTTTTCCAGACTCTTATGGCTGGCTCTTCCTTTCTTCAAAATTACTTTCGTCCACGATCTGTACTTTTGGAGCCATAGCACTTGAATGACTTTCCTGTGTTTCCAACGCTTCCAAATCGTCTGAGGAGCCTACTTCCATTTCCAGTTCGTGGTCAAGATCTTCGGTTTTCCAGTCGCCCCAGTTACCACGGCCACGTCCGCTCTTTTTGGTGGGACCTCGAGCGTCTCGAAAACCGTTTCTTTGGTAGTGCCTCGACTCTTCCACAGGCAGAGGGTAAAGATTTTGCTTACTTCTAGTCATGGTAGTTATAGGAAGCTTGTTTTAAATATCCTGGAAGTAAAAGATGGTTCATTCTGACCTCGGGCTTTTTAAAGCTTTGCGCCCAACTCCTGCGAAATGATGTCAGGTGAGCTCACTTGGGGGGCAGTGGCACCACCCTGGCGCTTTCTGTTGTGTGAAAATTGGCAGCGCTTCCTCCTAAATGGCCGTAACTGAAAAGGAACATTTGACACAGAATAAAAATGAACATCTCGTCTTTCATTGATCTGTTAAAACAATGCTATTGATATTATGCTTCGAGTGAAGTGATGGGTTTGTGCACAATAAGGAAAGTTTGTCTTGTTTGTTCAAAATACTGCTAAAAGAATTTGCTAGAAATATGAAGCAATTTTTAGGCTGAAAACATAGAACAAGCTCTTGGATGTACCTCCAATGATTTCTAATTTGCTGATTAACTGGATTTTGTCGGTGGTGATATGCGAAGTCTGACCTCAACAATGCAATAGGTTTCTCCGACAAATTGGATCGACGTACACTCTTCTTGAGCTACAAGCATTTTCCAGACCTAAACGCCTTGTGATTTATCATGTACTGCACCAAAGTCTTTGTTTTCGTAAGGTACTAAGGTAAGCTTTACAATTGTGCTATCATCCTGAGAGTTCTGAATATCCGTATTCTAATCACCATCCTGCCCTTGTAATTGTAAACAATCCTGTACGAGCAATGTTTTACGATGTTGCACCACAAGAAAATCACACCACCATATCGTTACGATAGAAAGAAAGCTGGCCACTTCGCAAGTAAGTTGTATATCAAATAAATATATTTAATGGTGTATGTTAGTGTATACATAAACTACCAAGCCATGCGAGCAATAAACGATGCTGGGTAACTGCGAACAATAAGCTTTCTAGTCTCATCAACTAAAAGAATGGCAAAGCCCCAACCGAAAGGAGTAAACCAGTATTTGACAGGAATTGGTGAAGTACCCAACACAGTATTGAATACTGGAACATAGAGAATGATTAACGCAATACAGAGGGAACCACAGAAAGCAGCGAAAAGGTACAAGTTCTTGTTAGGTCCCCAGAGTGGATTTGCTTGCAATATGGACCTGGTTCGGGTTCTGCGATAGAAACCATCGCCTTATTAGATTAACCCTTAATAGGAAACCATGTTAACAATTTTCTCACCTAACACTGAGAGCATTGAACCATTGGCATACGACCAAATTGAAGAAATAGATGGATTGTCCGATGTTTGTTATCTGAGTGATGGTTGCGGCATCAATCCCCATATATCCATCAGGAGAATTATATAAACTGAATGAGAGCATAACTTTGTTGAACGGAATTCCTTGTTCATTGAGGTAAATGAAGAACATGATCATAGAGGACACCATTTCCATAATACCAGTGATAAGATACGCTTGAGTGAGCAACTTGAGATTGACAAGTCTGTCTTTTCTAGGAGAACGGGGTTTGCGAGTAAGAAGATCAGCTTCGGATTTTTCCATCATCAGAGCAAGGGAGGGTAGAAGGTCCGTGAGAACACAAATGACAATCATCAAGAAACTGCTCAGCGTTTGAGGAGATCCCAAGAATATATTAACCAATACTGGCCATAACTCGGACCATGAGCCAGCAGGTAGGAGATAAAGAATGACCTTCTTCAGATTGTCGAAAACCAGACGGCCATTTTCAATGGCAACTGTAATGCTTGAGAACTTGTGCAGTAGTACCATATCTGCGGCCTCTATCGCAACATCACTCCCACCTCCCATAGCAACACCAACATTGGCGGCTTTTAGAGATGGAGCGTCATTCACACCGTCGCCTGTGTTCCGTTTCCTTTAGCATGCATGTCTGAAGAGCATATGAAACGTTTTGCTTCACTTACCCGTCATAGCAACAATATTGTCTCGTTTCTTCAGTTCTTTCACTATGAATAATTTTTGTTCGGGGGAAGTACGTGCAAATACGATTTCTTGATACTGACATACTTGTTCCCACATTGTGTCATTCAGAGTTTGAATATCAGAGCCGGTTAGAAGTAAGGAGCCAAAATTATCAGGATCGTCAGGATCAAATTGAGGAACAGTCTTGATCTCTTTTGCTGAGTCTATGTCCGCTACGGTGTCATTTGTTTGACGTGAGAATATTCCTACTTGCCTGGCAATGGCAGCAGCAGTTGCAGGAAAATCTGAGTGGAAAAGTTAATTAAGGACGGTTCCAGGTTTGATAAATCATGGATATTGAACACTTACCACCAGTAACCATGTAAAAACGAATTCCAGCTCGGCGACAGACATCAATAGTATGGGCGCTTTCTTCGCGAGGTGGATCGACGATTGCCAGCAGCCCAATCATAGTGAGACTTTGATTCATATCAGCAACGTATTTACCGAAATGGTTGGTTCCTGGGGTTGCATTGTTGGCAAGTTCGGAATGCTTAATTATTCTCTTGGTAACTGCCACTACACGCTTTCCTTCGTGTGCCCACTTGGTTTGAATTTTAACAATCTGCTGCTTTCGCTCTTCTGAGAACACATCGATGGAACCGTCTGGCAGCATGATGTATGAACAACGAGAGAATAGAACGTCTGGTGCGCCTTTGGTATAGAGAACATAGTCATTTGTCGTCAGTTCAGAGTCAATAGATTTGGCCATGAGTTCACTCTTTGGACGAGAGAGCGTCAACATCCACTTGTTTTTAGAGTTGAAAGGAACTTCAAATATTTTTTCGTTTTCAGATCTTATGTCTTTTGTCTCTTTGATGTTTTCAGCAAAAACGAGCACTGCAGAGTCTGTGGCATCACCGTTAATCTTCCTTTGAGGAACAGGATAGTCAATGGTGGAGGCATCGAAGGTAGCATTTGTACATAAAGAAGTAGCGATGTGAAGCTGCTGAACAGCGTACTGATAAGGGGATTGACTATGGTCGTTCGCAATATCCACGCATCCACGTGCAGTAAATTCTTGATCAGTGATGGCGGCATTTGAAGCAAACATTTTGTTGCAGGTGATGGTTCCTGTCTTATCACAGCATATTACATTGACACTTCCCAGTGTTTCGACCGTAGTGAGCACCTTACAAAGAACGTTGCTCTTTGCCATTCTGTTAGCGATCAGGGTAAGACAAAGAGTAACCGCAACCGGCATTCCTAAGCGAGGCATGTTAACAAAAAGTATTCGAGCGAGAAGACTTCATTGAGCATATTTTGCCTACCTTCTGGAACAAATGCGACAATAACAGAGATAACGTCGATTAAAGCGTTTGGCAAGGTTAGGTAGCCTGGATAATCAACCCTGAGCCATGCAGCCCAGGTAATGAGACAGATTATACCAACGGATATAGAAAGACCAGCAATGATCAAGACAAAGCGAAGAATTTCGACTTGAAGGAGAGTTCGTTGGTTGCTATTCGTAGCCGATAGTCTTGCAATTTTACCCATCATGGTGTTATCCCCAGTAGCGATGACTACGCCTATAGCCGAACCATTAACGCAGTGAGTACCCATCATGGCAATATTGTGTGTTTCTAAGAAGTTAGGATCTGTAGTTTCCACACTTCCAGCAATTGCTTCGGATTCACCAGTAAGAATGGAGCGATCAAATCTCAAGTCATCAGAAACTTGAATAAGTCTGCAATCGGCTGGGATTTTATTACCCATCTTGATGTAGACGATATCGCCAGTGACCAAGTTGGTAGCATCAATTGTAGACTGCTGACCACTGCGAAGAACCAAGGTATGAGTTGGGAGCATGTTGTTAATGCCATTCATTACCTTATTTGTTGACCAGTCCTGCCAAGCATTAAAAATGGCTTGCAAGAAGATGACAAACATCAAAATAATAGCCAAAGCAAGATTGACTGGAGCTGGATTTGGATCACCCAAGGGCTTCCATGATACCCTACAAAGAAGAAATTTTTCAATATCGCAAGGAAAAGTAATAGCATCAGCAACAAAAAATTATTTACCAACAGATGATACTGGCAAACCACAAAAGACTACAGAAACCTCCAAAGAAATACGAGAATAGTTTGCGGCCCCAATTGCTAGGCGGAGGGCTGATCTTGTTTTTACCATCGCGAGACAGTCGCTTCGAAATTTGTTGAGGTTCCAGTCCAATTTTTTCCGAAGTTGAAAACTGTTGTAGTACTTCATCTACAGAAAGCTTATGGAAGTTCGTGGAAGCAATTTCTAAGGTGTATTTAAGACAATTTGAATAAAGGGGCGCCAACGAATACATATTTACTGGCCAATATGCTTTACCTTCAACAGCTCCTGTCTTCTTGCCAAAGAGACCTTGCTTTTCGGCGGTAACAACACTTCTTTTTGCCTCATGTTCACTGATCGTGATGCTGAGCGTCCGGTAAGCAATGATGTTTTGACTTATAGCAGAATTTCTGCGCTTCAATGCTTGGCCCTTTGGCCGTGATGTCATTTGATCATTTTCTTCGTCGAACCGGATGGCCCGAGACGTTTCAAGATGCTTTTGCCCTTCTAGATCTTGCTTCTCTGTAAACGGGTCAGCCATTTCAAGGTAGGTATACACAACGGCAATTACGATAGGACAAGAATATCGCTGAGAGCATGTATAGGCGATGATATATATAGTCAATATTCTGTGTCATGAGAACTTTCTTTCATTAATGTCTCAAAAATATGTACAATCAGATCGATGAGCGCTATTCTCTGGCTTGATAGTGCGTTATTTATTGTTCAAGCTGGGTCGAAATGGCCGCACATGAAATAGGCAAAGATGCAACATGCCGCTGAGCTGTTATTGCCTAATTTAAAAGTAGCCAATGAAATTTACCTCACTTCATTCATAAACTTTCCCTCTATCTTACAGTACGGCGAAGAACCTCTTTGCTTCATCAAAGATGCAGAATAGGTGATAAAAATTTCGATAAGTGTTTAAATGCCACAATTTTGCGTGCTTATATCGTTAATATAGCTTTCAAACATAAAGGCATTCATCGCATTTGCGTGAGATATGTCATAGGTCAGGAGTACCATAAATAAAATGGGATGCTTATCAGCCTGATCTGTTGCATGCAGTTCTACCGACACAATTAAAGTGATGGATGGAGACCTAAGCATGTCTCAAAAAATTAGGAGGCTGTTCCGTTTCTCGATTCCTTCCAGGATAGATAGATGATCTCATTGATCTGGAGAAAATTCATAAAACCTCATAGAATGCTTTGAGTATTTCAGCGCAGGCTAAAATCAAGGCTTTTATCATGCCCAGCAATCATATTTAAATGAAGAGGATTCTATTCCCAGGTCTAGCTTTAATGATGATTGTTTCCAAACACCTTATCATAAAGCAAGCAATGGCACATGAAGGCTTGGTGCCAGCGCTTTTAAGTGGGGTTCCTTATATGGTAACCTGATTCCAGTTTTTCCCCGTTTCTAAATCTTTGCCAAGCTCTCCGACTGTTCTTGTTCCATTCTACTGCGACCAAATAACATGACGGCACCAGCAGCTTCATATCCCATAGCTGGTTTCGTGTATTTTATAGCTCATCCTCAGGTACGGTATATCATTTTTTACGATCGGCTCGAAAGACTGCCATTGCGGAACCGCTCACCGCCATTCCTTGCAGTTATGGCCAAAGGTGTTGTGCCCATTCCTTCTCACATTGTTAGTCGGGATCGCATCGCTTGTATTATCCTTCGTGTTCTTACTACCATTACAAGCACACGCACTTATCAATGCAAAATGTCCTGTGTGGTTGGCCTGGCTCGTATCCGTGATTTTTGTTTTGTTAGAGTCAGTCGTCATAGATCTGCTCGCTTTTGCCATCATCACGCCGATCTATATCGATATTCTATTTGACAAGACATTAAAGGTCAGAGGTCTGAGAAGAATGTTCGACACAAGAGTCAAAGTACACGATGCTCTTGTTTGCTGTCGTGGGGTAACTGCTGGCGTTATCATGCTTTGGTTTCTTTTAATAGCACAGGTAAATGGCAGTTTCCTTTGTAGTATACTGACAGTTCCTTATTGTTGACAAACATTCCCCTCATCAGGTGCTCGTTTTACTCTTGACTTTGCCATTACACCTTATCCCTGTTATTGGGACAGTTTTCGCGTGTTACATCAACGGATGGGTAGCTTGGTAAGAAGTTCACAATTTAATGGCTGCTGCAGAGAACAGCAAATTTATGGGCATACTTCATTTTTCAGCTGGGGACATCATATACATTATGATTTGGAGTTCCGTGGATGGACCGTTGCTGATTCGAGACGGTATGCATGGCAGCGCAAATCGGAATACGCCAGTTTTGGTGCCGTTGCAGTGGCCTTAGAGTTGATACCATTTTTCAACCTATTCTTCATGTGGACAAATGCAGTAGGAGCTGCGTTATGGGTTGCGGATCAGTATGAAGAGAATGAAAGGGCCATTGCTTCCCAGTCACCTTCAATTGAAGGCCAGCTTTCACCTGAACCCTATGGTAGAACAGCACCCCCAACAGCAGCTCCGTCTGCAGCCACCTTATATCCAGATGAAAGCACGCACCTTGTACATAAAAAATGAAAGCATGGCTGGCTCGGAGAGCAGCATTAGCTTGCAGACATGTTTCACATTATTTCTTCTTTTGTCGTGTGATACGGTAAAGAAACATTTCAAGTTTCAGTTTTGACCGGCTTCGCATTCCTTTTTTTTTTTTTCCTCTGCTTTGTAACGACTTATGACCACTTTTTCTTTTCTTCTTTCTATCAATCGAAAGTGTCTTCATCCATCAGCTAGACCGCTAGCACTCGCCCATTTACTTTCCTTTGCTATACTCTCATTACCATGACCACCCAAATGGAAGATGTATGCAAATTGGCGAGTTTGGTCGATCCACTACCAGACTGCTCCAATACACTCGTCCTCGAGCAATTCGATCTATCAGATGATACCACACCAGAAGTAATATGCCAATACTTCAGATTGCGCCTGATTGTCAACAGAGTCTACTTTACACTTGCGTTAATCAACATGGTCTATGTTATTTGTACAACCGCACTCCTGATACATCGCGCCCGAGCTGTACAAAGCAATGAAAAAAAACTGCGATTTCCAGTGAATGAAAAGCAAATACACACATTGCGAAAGCGAAACTTACTAGCGTTGGCAGTTGGAGAAACCGGACATCTGCTGGTCATATCGATCTCCCTCATTATCAAAGCTTTGGATGGCTGCATCTACTGTCCTATATTCATGTATGTAACGACTTACGGATACTATATGTGGATCGCATCTTTCATCTGGAGAGCATACTACCTACGATTTCAACTCAGCCTTCATAAAATCAAGCTTCGGCTGGGAAATGGTGAATCTGAAAAGGATCGAAAATGGTACATTCACAACAGAGACAAACATTCCATCAGCAATGGTCGATTTATGCTTCTTTTATTATGTGGAATGGTGCTCGTGACGGTTCCTCTGATCCTAATGCATCGATATTATTATGGCTTTGACCATGTTGTTGTGAAAACTTGTTCAACAAGAATAGGCACTATGGTGCTACTGTTTATGGTCACTTTCTTCCAGTGTATCATTTCACCTGTCCTGATCTGGCTTCTCAGACATGATCGAGACGCTCACAATCTTCGGAATGAACTCATTGCAATATTTGCCGTTGGTATACCAACATCCGTATTGTATCTCGTCTGGGTCACTATTTTTCCACCATCAATTAGCTACAATGGACCGAACGTAAGGCTCTTCTGGGGATCTATTAATTGGATAGGTCTCAGCCAGGCGGTTGCACATTTCATTGCAGTTACATATCCTCTTCTAGCATCTTATGGGCTCTGTACTTGTCCTTGCATCAAGAAAGTTGAAAGATATAGTCGTACAGGACGAAGAAAAAGCTCAATATCGGTTGCGCGCACGCTCGATTGTACCACGGTGTCATTGGAATACATCCTCACACAACCCGAGCTACTGGAGCACTTAAAACATGTTGCCGTACAAGATTTCAGTACAGAAAATGTTCTATTTTGTGAGCAATACAGCATTTTAGCGAACAAAACCATGGCCAAACTGAACGAGACGCGACCTCTAGATGAAAAACCACACAAAATGAACTATACTAGCTTGACGAGCGATCCAATTCCTCACGAACTACAAACCGACTACATTGCTTTCTATAACACCTTCATCAAAGCCGGTGCACCATTACAAGTGAACATCACATACTCAGATAGAAAGGCAATGGATGCTGTGTTTAAAGAGTACGCAAAGCAACAGCAACACGTCCTGGAGAATGTTGTTTCACAAGTCCAAATGATGGAAGATGATACCTGGGGAGGAGAAGAACTTGTGCTCTTTGCTTCTGCAGCTGACTCAAAGCGTTCAGTGACTAGTATTACTGAGGACCCATTGCTTGGTCAACCGTCTACAACCAGTACAATACGATGTAGCGTATTCGATAGTGCTCGAAAAGAAGTTATGTGGATCATCTTTTGTAACATACTTCCAAAATTCATTGAAGATTGTAAATAATTTAATGTAATCCTACTGTATTAAGCCATAGAATAAACCAAAATAAAATATTTAGCCATCAGTTAGTCCCTAGCTATACAACCATGACGACTAGGCAGTGTTGAAAGCACGACGCGCAGAACGAACCATGAAGAAAACACAAAAATCAACGCGAAATTGGCGCGTAGTGTGGCACAGGCTGTCAAAAAGCTTTTTTTCTTTTCTCTATCCCGAGCTTCTTTACATGAGTAGACATGCGCAGTTGTCGACAGCTCTCGAAAATCGTTATGCCATACATATTGAGCCGGTGTACCTGACTAGCCTAATTTCAGACAAGTCCAAAGCCGACAATGCGACCACAGAGAGGCAGATCTACGATCACTTTCTAAAATCCAACATGTCAACTTCCTCTCTGCCAGTCATACCACCCAACTTCGGGCATCTGCACGATGTTTTGTTTCCTGGCTCTCCAAATGGAACTGTTCTCCAGATAAATAGCATAATGGATGTTGAGAACAGTGCTCAGAGCTTGCTTAATACACTCACTGCTTCCACTCCGGTACGCCAGGTGTATCATCAGCCTCCTACCGTCCCCAACGGTCCCGTTAACTTCCCGAGAGGCACGCTTAAGCTAGAGGTCACGGATGGATACAAAATCATCACTGCACTTGAATTCAGGAGAATACCATCCCTCTCCATGAACACGTATCTGGGCACAAAGGCAAGGTTGCTAAATGATGGGCGAAGAGTGCGACTAATATGGGCTAACGTGAAATTTACATTAGATCCTTGTGAAAAACTGTCGCGTCAGTCGAGGGACACTGATGATTGAGCCAGGAACTTGCCAGTTATTGGGCGGAGATGTCCCGTCTCTATACCACGGAGATATGCGAAAGGATTTAGAGAGACGTCTTCGAACCCGATTGGGGTAAGTTTAAAGACGTTATGGGGTTTAGATAAGAAGAATTTCTCAGACGTATTTCCAACAGACTTCCAGTGTCTGATGAGCAGGAAGATAACAAGGACGAAGAAGATATCAAACTTGAGCCACAGATGTACGATGATATGGATAGCGTATTCAATAACGTGCTTATCGATGATGTGATGGATGTGAGTGGCCTCACAGACAACAACTTGGCTCCTGAGATACAGGTGGGATCTCCACCGCTAGCATTGGAGCCTGATACGAAGATACATAAAACCCATTCTTCAGCTGAACCATTGGAAGAGAACAGCAGGTACTCCAATGTCTCCTTCAGCGACTTCAGTATGACCGATGTGGATGGTGATATACAAGGTTCCGATCATTCCGGCAATCGTATTCCAAATAATGAATTTGCAACCATTACCAGAAGTCCTGTCTTATCACAGGAATTTGGTCACCTTGACTTGATTGAGGATGACGACGACGTAGTGATGATTAAAGAAGAAAAGATCAAGCAGGAAGGCACGGTTCAAACGTCAGTCTCGCAACTCATCCGCATATACAATTCCAGAATCAATAAAGAAAGTGAGTGGCAACAAATCAACCGGGTTATTGTGCAGGTAAAGGTCATGAAAATGTAAGGCTTTTTTTTTTTAAAGACATTCCATATTCACATTGGGTACATCCAGTCGAAAGTTACCAGATTGGGCCAGTTGAGAGTGAGCAAAACCAGAGGATTTTATACAGTTGGATCCTTGCGTTCAGAACAAAGGAAAACGCAAGCTCAAAGTGAAATCAACATATTTCTTGGAAATAACGTAAGAAAGTTCTAATAGTATAGATTGTGGGTATGTCTCGGTTTTTTTGACGTTTGGTATGTATAGGTGCTTGAGCCCATGCTTGGAGCGAGCGCGAAAAGCCTTTTTACAAATAGTGGAGACACCAACATTCGTGATCCATCCTTTCAAGAAAAGGTATGTTAAAATGTTTGCGCTCATATAAGTTTTTCTAGCCTACTAATACCCTCTACAGTATGGAAGAGAGGTTCATAATCGTCTCGGTAACCGAATGATGCAACTGGAGTTGGATATGAAAGATATGCAAGATGTGGGACAGAAGTATGGAGAAAAGAGGTTTGTTCCCAAAGTTGTCAGTTACAAGCCTTGCTGATAAAATAGGCTTGTAAACATTATAACAACGTGATCAAAAGTCAATGTAAATTTAACATGTACGATATAATATAATTCTTTTCCATCATCACTGTAATCAAAGCTGCTTGTTTGCATATTTATCGGTTTTATTGGATGACTGGAAATGCAGCTGCATGCCATTATTGTTCAGCGAAGCATGACACGCAGGCTGGGAACAGATTGAGAGCCATCTCGATCTCTTATCCACGTACCGTTGCCATCTGAAAAGGCTGTTCCCCAAGGATCCTTCCCTTTGTCGCTATCTATCCATACTAACGATCTTTCATCTGTGGCTGCATCTGAGCTGACCACAATCCAATATATGTCATCAGGATTAATCTGCACAGCTTGAGTTGGTGTCCATGTGAACCATGTAAAGGTTGCAGCTTTCGATGGCTGTGGGATGGGAATAAACTCAGAGATTATACACTCTGCTGTATTGGGTATCATCTGGCCACCAGAGTCGCGTGTTTCTGAGCATATCTGCCATAGCATTAATGACCCAGGTGCTGTATGTCTAGTCATTAAAGCTGCCTCCAGTGAATCGAATTGCAAGGTTTGGCTGTCCTCGAAGCATTCATATTTCTTCTCTCGCGCTGAAACTGCTAATGCAATCGATTGATTGATATTGATGACCTCACCCAGAGTGCTGTTTGCAGGTGGCGCTCCAGTGTCTAACGCGACGAATAAGAGACTATGGTGGTCCTCAAGCTCCTCCAAACTTTTAAAATGCTTGTTATGTATTATTGCGTATCTTTAATGGCAAACCCGTACGAAGCTTACCTGAGGCGGTATATCAAGTTGTGAGAAATAGATTTATCAACAATCAAAAATGTAGAGCACAGTAAGAAGACGACTAGAGTCATCCAACGAAAAGTTCTGTATTTGGTAGATTCGTTTATACGCGTTGATTCATTTCTCGTAGGAAGCCTGATAACCATATCCTTTTGGCGTCAGTTTTGCTGTGAAAGTGAAAGAAAGGGGTGGTGTCACGACCTTGTTGATACTGCACACGTTTTTTTTTTTTTTGCCATTCTGGTCACGAGGCTGGCTCAAATTGCATTTTCGTTGGCAGATATGTTGACTTGCGTGCGTGCAAAATTTATGTTTTTATGAAACTACTGAGCCCGTGCGGTATATAAATGATGGTAAAAAGCCAAAGTGAGAGATGTTAGCTGCGTGCGAATTCTACTTGCAATTGGCCGCAGTCGGGAGACACAACCTTTTTTCCTTTGGTGTCAATTTGATCAGCTGTTCCGTCACGATCATGCCGTACCAATTTGGTCACTTCGACCTACAGCAAAAAATCCACAGCAAAAGCTAGCTGAACCAATCTAAAATAAGCTTCTGCTATGAGTTAAAATCTGTTATGTTACGTGCTGCTGATATACAGTTTGTGTATAGTGTCCTTTGCATGGGGGGAAAGGAAGAAAGACAGTCACACGACCCGAAAAGGTCGAACTCCAAGAAAAAAAGAAGCCCGAGGTCGTTGCCTTTTCGCATGAATCTTATGGCACAATGAAGTTTGCAAAAAAGTTAGAAACTGATACAGAAAACCTTCCCGATGAACTGAGGAAACATTTGATACGATACAAGTATCTTAAGAAAGCTATTTCGAAAATTGTCGACGAAATGGAGCAAAGAGGACTTTCAGCGACATTACTCAGCGAATGGCTCCGCAAGTCTAGTGGCGAGACAGAGGGAGCAGACGATGATAGCTTGAAAATTGAATACTTTTTTGTAGGCAAGTATATATGCACAGAAGCAATGGAAGATAGGCAAACAAATCACTGACGGTTATGAGCTTAAAGGTCAGCCTCCTGACATACGGACATGCATTAGAATTACTTATCTGGAAAATGATCCCCGCATACAGCAGTTGCTCAAACCAACGGAAGTTGCGGGCAACGATCAAGAAGTGCTGCCTACACCACTTGAATTCCGTTACTCAAAGGACGACACTGATTATTTTTCCTTAAGTCCACCGCCATTGAGCGTCCTTTCAGATCAACAACTTAGAGAAAATGTTAGTTCGCGACGGGAAAGCAGTAGCTCAGCCAAGCTTGCCAAAACACTTCTTCAGTTGTCCTTAAATGAATCCAAAGAACATAATCACCAACCGAGAACTTCAGGCAAGCCAAATGCTACAATTGTGAGATGTTTCGATAGCCATTATAAACTGAAAACTTTTTCTATTAGAACATGACGGAATTGAAGAAATTGAGAGGACGAAGACTTTGGTTATAGAATTGGAACAAGATGATGAATTTTTCCAAATGCTCATGAGGGAACTAAATGAAATCACGGATGTTCAAGAAGAGGCGAAGAACAAGTTTGAGAAAGATGTGTATGATATGGAGAGTAAACTAAGCTCCCTGGTAAGCAGTTTGTCAAATGAGTAACGCCAATGATGAAAGAATTTTTCTAATACTCGTGTTACGTCCGTAGGTAACTGTAGCCAAACCAAAGAAGTCTGATCTGTACACGTGGAGAGAAATATTTCGGTAATCAAAAGCTCAGTTGATTTGTAGATGTATATCGGTATCCATTGATAACAATTTTGTCTTTCAAGGATATATATGGACGCAGAAGTGTTTCAGGGAAGTCATGAACTCGACAGATCATTGAGGTCAGCAGAAAAATCAAGACAACAGATGGAATGGTTTACTGCAGAACTCCGACGGCTGAACTTAGTAAGTCAACGGATTCACATAAAATACAGTAGCAGTATGTACTGATATTTTCTTCTATGGCAGATACCCAAGATAATGAGCAAAGGATCTAGGCGCGTTTACGAACAGTTTTTGGCGCTCAATGCAGAATTGATCAATATCAAGCAGTTTCAAGCGATGAATCAATTGGCCATGTTCAAAATTTTGAAGAAGCACGATAAACGGAGTGGCTTAAAGTATGTTACCATAGTAAACAGAAGTTTCGAGCACCCATGTTAACGAATGTTTCACAGCGCAAGCTCCACCTTTCCAAATTTAGCCAGCACAGATGTTCTGTTCAATACCAAGCTGTCAAAGCTATTGTATGCGTCCGTAACGGACAAACTTGTTACCATTGTACCGCAACCGGATGACTACAGTAAGTGTTCAACTGTGTTTTTCATACCAGTTTACGCGGCATTGACGAGATTATTGATCCGCAGGCTGTCCGATTTGCATGAGCATTGCCTGGCGGCCTATTCGACTGGTGTGTGGCCATATATTCTGTGTTCGCTGTTTGATTAAGCAACAGAGGAAGAACATGCCCAATTGTCCCGTGTGCCGAAAAGCAAATGCAGTTCGCTTCGCTGGTGCAGATCAATTGGACGTAGAACTCGAAACTAAAATAACCACATACTTTCCTAAAGAGATCAAGGAAAAGCGAAAAGATAACGACCGCGAGCAAGCTATTGAAGATGTGCAAGCTATGACTGGTCGCAAATATAGTCCGGAACAACTTCAGCGTATGCAAAACGAACGAGGTTGCATCATTATGTAGACTATAGTCGCTTCTCAACCTAGACATCCTCCATTTACTATTACCTATTTTTCATCTTCTTTGCATTAATCCTTTTTTACTCAATCACATATTTTTACTTTGTACTTTGACAACACAACAATGTTATTGATAGATGTATCAATTCTACAATAGATATTTACAAATGTATCTAAGCAGCGTCGGCAGCAATCGTTATAACGAAAAATGTATGCAGTTATATCAAACTGTTCTTCTCAATAGCCCGCATGGTAAGTTCATATGCAGCTGTAATGAAGTAAAATGTTAGTAAGATGGTGTGAGGAAAAGCGTGTAGTGGCCAAGATGGGACTTACTAAATGTAGCACCAGCGGCTGGTATAGCTCTGACCACTGAGAAAAAACGGAGAAAGAGATGAATGACGTTAGTGATGCTGTGGTATCAGGACAATCAAAAAGGTAATGTCTTTACTTGATGGGCCAAATCCACGGAAAAGACCAGCAAAACCGCTTTCAGCGTGAATAGTTTTCAAGGTAGATATGATATAGAAGCCTCTAGGAGGTTCTACTTGGTTTTGAACCTACGAGGTATATATGTCAGTATCCAGAGCATAGTAAACCCATCATGATTTCATAAAGTACTTACCTTGGACTTGACTACATCTAGTGGATAACAAGCTGCCCAGTAACCCAAACCACCAGCTGCACCAGCAGTCATAAGTTGTAGGACGCTGGCCTCTTGACCTTCTTTGACCAATGTTCTCTTGGTAGCCTCAAATCCTACGTAAAAACCAGCGTAGGCAGGAATTTCACGAACAATAGTGGCCCAAAGACCACGGAAAAGACCATTAGCAACACCGTGTTGACGGATCAAATCTTGGGCACAGTCAATGGGACCACTATAATATCGCTGTCCTGAACCTGAAGCTCCTTTGCCAAACTGAGCTTGCAACTTGATCTTGAGCATTTCAACTGGAGAAGCCAAAACACTGTTGACAATACCAGCTCCAGATCCAGCAATAGCAATCTTATAAAGAGGGAGTTGCTCCCCAGGGTAGCTTTGTAGAAGTCGACGACACTCTGTGTTTGCAGCAAAGAGCAGAGCGTTGACAGCACCTATTCCCACCAAAGGACTCGCCATTCCTATTTTCGAACGGTTTCAGCTACACTTTCTAGCCGGCTGATCCCCACCATGAACACTATACCTTTGTATAGGGCAAAAAAGCCCTCGTTCTTGATGGTTTGAACAGCACAGTCCATAGCACCATTAAATCGACCTGAATCGAGCTGAAGACGAACTTTGATGGTATCCAACGGCTGGCCTACAAAAAATATGACGAATTTGATGCTAAATATGATGACAGCGAAATCTTACTCAAGACGCAAATGCCTTTACTTACCAACAAGAACTTGGCACATACCACCCATGCTATAATAACGATGGTGAAATTAATAAGCGTGAAGTGCAGGTATGAAACCGACCAGGTAAATAAGGGAAACCGGTATTTGTAAGGTACGGATTGAAAGCTGAATTCTCGAGATGGGACTCACTTTCCGGCGATAAAATCGGCAGCAGCCGAGGTTTGCTTTGGTGGAGCAATGACAGCTATAGATTCAGCAGACATGTCAAAGTGGAAATTATATAGAGGATGAACCGACGAGTTTACTGTACTCAGGCTTAGTGCCAGAAATTCAATTGAAGCCTAATTTTTTTTCAAAGTCGGACTTGTGCTGCAGCTACCAGAACAGCACCAGAGCTGACAAACAGCGTGTGGGAATCCGAAAGGGGGGTTTAATATTATTTCAAATTATACAATTTCATTATTTGTTAGGGTTCTCTTGGTTGGAGATCATCTCGCTTATGTTTTTCTGTAATAAATGCCAATCCTCTGGTTTGGGATGTGCTACGTCGCCGAGCTCATATATGTATACTCGCCCATCGCTGGATCCAATGGCTGTTCTTTTGCCGTCCTTGTCCCAGGCAAGCTTATTGAGTGCCTTTCCGGATCCAACCATTGTGCTAACGTAGGGTTCCTGTTTACACCACAAGCCTGCATTAGTACCGCTAGTACTCGTCTATTCAAATCAAACGAACAATTGATCCGTACCTCTGTATCAGCGTTCAGGTTCCATAGATCGAACTTGCCATTGCCATCAACTGCACCAAACAATGCGGGATGAGTGGGAGACCACTTGACGTCGTATACATGGTCATCAGCTTGTTCGAACGAATTCAAGGGTAAAATTGTTGTTGGTTGAGTCGAAGTTTTGGCGATGGACTATAGTGGGAGATATTGGTTTGATAAGCTTCATCTTCGTTAACCAACGATAATTACATGAAAGAAAGCATACCTTGGATCTCCATAGCTTGACAGTCCAATCAATAGAAGATGTGAGAAACAGATCAGAAAAGTCAACCGGACCAGATAGAGGGTGGAAATGCAATCCTGTGATGGCACCGGCATGGCCTTTATAGGTATCATACTGATTTATACCTGCTTTGCTATTGATTTTACACGCGTGTCATTAGCACGACACAATTTAGGCCAATAAAGATAAAATCCTGAAAATTTACCTTCCAGCACGGTCATATCGATTTGCTTGATAGACATTGCCTTCTTCAGTTCCCACCCAAAATGAAGTGGTCTCATTGTCTGGGAATCCACTGCAGGTCACGGACACCTCGTCCGTTTTACTATGTGATGGATGCACCAGCTCAATAAAGTCCTTCGCGATAAAATTAGCTCTGTATTCTTCCCATCGAGACCGTTCCAAAATCCTAATATCATGTAAACTCATACCTGTGGTTGTGCCAGCATATCAAGCTGCCATGAGCATACAAATCCATCCGTGCTCGCAGAAATGAGATTGTGAGCATTTTGGGTACCGATCATCTCCAGTGAGTAGATTGGATGTGTATGTCCGCCAGCGGATAGTGGTGTTTTGAGAACAGGCAATGATTTTGCTCTGGTATCCCAAAGCACAATCTGTCCAGAGTAAGTGCCACCAATGATATAATTGGGGTGAAATGAGCTGAACTTCACCGCTAGTACGTCCGACTAAAGGAATATGTCATGGCCATTCAAGTCAATAAATGGTTTTCAGTAATATCAGCAAAACATAGTATACCCTACCTGAGAATGGAAAACAAATTCAGGACGTTCAGGCATATGCAAGTTCCATACACATGCAATACCATCAGGCTCGTTGACTGCCATAGGATTCTTGTTATACGAAGACACCATGAGTTCAGGGTACTAAGACGCAAGAATTAGACATTGGGAATAAAAGTGAATATAGTCTTTCATCAATATTGTACCTTAGGTGACCAGTCGACATCAGTCACAGATCGATTTTTAGACCACTTTTCATCCCAGAACTCGCAAATATACTTGATACGTTTGGAAAATGTATCCTCACTGTGAACAGTGTTAGTCGTGCCTCTCTCTTGGATCTGTATACTTTTCTATAACTCACCTGGTGACTTCAGCTCCAATGGTATAATCTTTCATGAAGTCATAAGTCTCATGTAAAGCACGCTCAACAATCTTAGAGGACGTATCCACAAAGTTGGCAAAGGTATGGGAAGTAACAATGGTTTTTCGTTCTTCATCACTCAGCTCTGTTCGTGGTAACAGTATCAGTAGCTGCTGTTGCTAGCGCTCTTCGGACATCAAAGTGAGATTATACCTCTTAGCTCTTCCGTCTTTGTAGATTCGAATTTCTTCCTCTCGTCTTCAAGCTTCGCCTGTCTTTGCCGTTCATTCTTTTCAACTTCTTCCATAATCTCGCGACGGATCTCCTCTTCCGATAGTTGCGGGGTATCAAACGAGCCTTCGACGGTCTGTACTTCTTTGCTGTAATGTACATGAACCTATAGCCAACAAAAAGATGATGAGCACAAAGAAATCCAACCGCAGAGCCATATTTAAATTAATCGTTACCGCTGGTGGGATGTCAATAATGTCTGCATGTGCTTCAGACAGTTCAGCGAGTCGTGCTGAGGTTGAAACGCTGGAAATACTGGATTTTGGCTCGCTAAATACAGTGAAATCATAAGAACAGATGATTAAGCCTGTGGTAGTAGCAGTGCTAAATCTTACGTAGTCTGCGTAGTCATGCTGGGGACTAAGTGTAATGAACTTGGTCGAGACGATGCGCGTTCTGAGCCTGTGTCAGAGCCCCTGTCAGAGCCTACAGCTCCAGGGCTGGGGGAGCCTTGTCGCTCACCAAGTACCATAGCCACTAAATCATCGATGGCCTTTCTGTCTTTATTTCCAGGTGAAGCGGTTCCACTCGCCTATAATTCATTACAGCGATGGAGTATTCAGGGTTACCATCTAGGTTTCATCTTTAAGAATCAATTGGTTCCTGAGATGGTGAGTTTAGACTTACGGATGAAGTTGTATTTTGTTGAGCAGTTTGAGATTCCAGTACGGCTCGACGTTCTTCTCTTGCGCGTCTAAGCTCTGCTAGTTTCTGGCGCTTTTTTTCTAATTCTTCTTTCCTACGCTCCATGCTGATGGCAGCTGTGCTGTTGTACTAAGAAAGCTTGCAGGAGGGGCAACACGCTGATCTCGAAATTTTTCCAGCGAAATTTAGCAACGTCACGCACAAAATGGGCTCAATCCCATCAATCATATTTTAGAAGACATTCTTTATATTCAAACACAACGAGTTTTTATTGCATTAACATTTGCGTCTTCTCAGAGCCAAAGGCTTAATTTTAATGACAGGAGCGAATTACATAAATTTACTAGAAAGAAAGAAAGAAGCGTTAGAACACACATGATTTGCAATATTGACATAGTTGCTACTTTTCATTTTTCAAATTCTTACCTCTTGCATGGCAGTCTTGGAAGAGCGGTTCTTGCGCTCAAGGATGGACTTGCGATCCTTGTCGAGCTTGACCTTGGTAACAACAACGTTGGAGGGGTGGACACCAATGGGGACGGAAGCACCGTTGACCTTCTCGCGGGTGACACGGTCGATGTGGATAACCCACTTCTTACGGTAGACCTGGACGACCTTACCCTCACGGCCCTTGAAGGAACCACGAACGACCATAACCTCATCATCCTTGCGGACGGGAATGGAGCGGGCCTGTAACAACAGAACGAATAAGTCAGCAAATGGGTGATCTTTATGGTAGCAATCTCCAGATGGAACTGTTTGGTGCAATTTGCTGGTAGTGTGTTGCTTATCGCTTGTCAGTACAATATACAGAAAATTGTATATATCAAGCAAGCGAAGTGACCGAGTCTTTTTGTCGTATTTGTGTCGATCCATACTCAATTATTACACCGCAAATTAGATATCCAATAAAATAAATATTCATCGTACATTGTGTTCCTCGCGGAGCTCCTTGGAAAGAGCAGCGCTCATGATCTTGCGGCGAATGCTGGAAGGAGCCTGGAAATGAGCCTTGCGGCTCTTGCTACGAGAAGAGCTAACGTCTACGTAGAAAGGAAAAAGGAAGAATGAGCATTGGTCGTCAATTTAATAGTCGAGATGTCAGCTAGTGGCCAAAATGGTGCCAAATGTGAGAGTGAATGAGCCCCCAATGTTGAAATTTTTTCCGGTAGTAAAAGGCATCCATATCTTATGAATATTGATCCATCTCATCGTCGATCAATCCATCCATGTCTATTGACCACTAGCTGATGTATTCCTAGTTAAATCATTACCAGAATTGAACTTCATTTTCTTGACGGTTGAAGAAGAGGAAGCTCCATCAGTTCAAAAGGGAAGCAGGTTTTGGCTTCAGCGGATTTGAATCTCCGCATTTGAAAAAGTTAGAATGAAACAATTTTGCCTGTTACTCCGTTGACCAACGAGCGTTATACTATGAAGAGAAATTGTCACAACCCTACTGCTCCTTCTGCTCTTTAGAGATCATCTCGTATGAAATACTAAAGCTCTATGACGACCAGAAATCTGTTGATCTAGTGCATCGGTCAAGTCTACAACGAAGCAGATTATACCGTTCTTGCACTAAAGCGTAACTGGTGCCTTGACTGATGGACACTGCTGTGGGAAGTGAAGCACTAATGATAAAAAGTATATTGCCTGAGTACCTTTTCATTTTAACAGTCTTTAGGATAATATGACCTTCTACTCACTCAAAAATGATGATTGATTTTGATTTTTTATGGGAAGATTTCTTCACGCGCACGCGTGAAATTTTGTATTTAAAACAATTACGTGCAGACTCGGTGTCTTGATTCTTACCCTTTCAACTCATCGCCAAACATGTCGTTGGTGAATATCATTAATATCCAAGTGCTGGATAATCCAACACTGTTTACCAATGCCTTCCACTTTGAAATCACATTCGAATGCAACGCGGAACTGAAAGATGGTAAATATGGGTCTTCATGTCATTTTCCGTGGTCTTGGACTCTCAGTTTCGCACAGCACAATGTGCATTTTTTCGCGTTCAATACTCGGGCATAACCGCAGTTTGACTCGACATACTGACGCTCTACTCTACAGATTTGGAGTGGAAGATGATTTACGTTGGTTCTGCTGAAAGCGCCGAGTATGATCAGGTTTTGGATTCCATTATGGTCGGACCCATTCCAGTCGGCATCAACAAATTTGTCTTTTCGGTACGTTCCATCCTCTTCCTTGTATTTACAAATATCACATAGGCTAATGTTAAGTTATTGTCAACAGGCAGACGCTCCCAAAGTAGAAATGCTTCCACAGCAAGATCTTTTGGAGGTCACCGTCGTCCTACTTTGCTGCTCGTATATGGTAAGTTTAGATGAAACATCATTGCTAGCCGCGTGAGCAACTGTTTTAACCGTAAACGCAGGACAAGGAATTTGTTAGAGTCGGATACTATGTGAACAACGAGTACCTTGACCCAACCTTGCGCAAAGCTTGTGAAGATGCTAAGGAAAACAACAGACCACCACCACCATTGCAAATAGAAAAGCTCTACAAGTGTATTCTCGCTGACAAGCCAAAGGTCACTAGATATACCATCAACTGGTAAGTACATCCCGTCACTATAACGTACATGTTATTAGTCATCAGCATATTTTGACCACCTTCCATAGGGATGATCCTCAAGCTGGTGTCGCTTCCAACGACACGGAAATGAATGCAGATGATCAAGTACAGCACATTAATCAAGAACAGGTCAGTTCCCTTTCATGAGGACTCGAGATCAGAGTCATATCAGTTCTAACAAGTACACTACAAACCAATCAGGACGTAGCCATGTAAGAGAGCAGTACGGCATCTTCTTCAACATGATCTTTGTTATTTTTACATATTATTACAACATAAAAGTCAAAACCCATACTATCCTAAACATATCTCGTCACGGACTTATTTAGCTTTCTTTTGTTGCTTAGCAAATTGCTTGACTTGTTGGCCAGTAACGTTCCAGTAGGCGTAAAACGCCAAAGAAAATGCGGTATGAAGGATAGTGGCACCCCATGCAGTTGAAGCCCGAGCAACAGTCTCTTGGCTTCTGAAATGGAAGGCACCAATAGCAACCAAACCATGGTAAACAAGCATTCCAAGAGCGACGTTACGTTTGCCGGGAAGAATATCGGGTAAACCAACTTGAAGCAAACTGGTGACGACAACACTTGCTAAGGAAGCTCCATACAATCTAGCAACGTTCTCAACGTAAGGTTCAATGATAGCTGGTGTGACTAGCAATTGAGCTACTGCCTTTTGGGGAGCCAAGAGCAAGAGTGCTGCCAAACCTCCTTCAGCGATAGAGTTCTACATGGCTTCCAGAATTAGTAATGGAAGTGATTTATGTCAAATGGTTCGAATTTCAACTTACGGCAAGGAAGACGTGTCTGAGAATAGTCATTACGAAGAAGGATAAAGATCTTTTGACCGCTGAAGACGCTTATAAGAGCATTTTGGCGGAGGTCAAAATCTGCGCACTGTAATATCCCAAATTATTTTTCACGTTACTCTCACACACAAGCATGGCCAGTTTCAGTATTTTGACGTGACTAATGCCTACTAAGCTCGCGGTCAAGTCTTTAATTTGCATCCCATCACCATGTCGAAAATGATTGGCGTCAGTCTGCTTGGTGAGGCAACCCGGCTCCTTGGAATGAGGCGCCATGTAATGCGCTGTAAGCCAACCCACCTCACCTGGTTGGTGAAGTTTTCCTCTATAAATCTTGCTTAAATACGAAGCTCTCATTCAATCCCTCAAGTCTCGAAGGTTAATAGTTAAAATTTATGCACATTGTTCTCACCTTTCACTGAAAAAGTAGCCAAAGTCCACGTTTCGGCTAGTGGAACGCCAACAGCGATCCTGCCGATATTGGCACTCGTACCGATATTTGGTATATTATTCATCACATCACGTTATTCCTCAATTAAGCCCCACAGACTGGGATGGATACTCCAAGATGCCATGCACTTTACTTACGTCGCATATCAACATACCTTTACATAAGTGCTCTCCATCCCACTTCATCGCTCACCAATAACACATTCACAACGCCGAAAAATACTTAAGTTACTATCAGACGACTTTACTGACAGATAGTTTGCCCCAACGTACGGGATGTCAATGCTAATGAAAAAAAAGAACTTGTTAGCCTTTAATAACTTTAGTTGCCATTCATTCATCTTTCATTTTACTTTCGATTAATGTAGAGAGTTAATTGTGATACAGATGGGAATTTTTATAAATGAAAAATGACGGGCAGCTAGTTGTTACAAAAGTGATAAAGGGAATAACTGGCTGCTACCCGATCGCAGTATTTACATTGCGCTTGGGTGTTTGTACAAGAAATAAAAGAAAAACCTTGGAAGCAAGAACATGTGTAGTTATGATCGATCCGTACACAGTGTCCGTTTGCTCCGCACTGCAGAAGAAAGCAAAAATATATAGCTGAAAGGGAATAAGTAAAAAAGACAAAAAGAAAACTTCCTCGCATGGTAAGAAGTTGGCTAACTACAATAGACAATTTTTTTTTTTTTGAACGGTGGCTACTTTCGATAAAGAAATGCGGTTAGGGAAGATGAAAGTAACTCGCGTGAGCATTAGTGAGCGTTTTTGACGTGCAAGTATGCTCCTAAAGAAGCGTATCGTCTAAGCCATAAGTAACAACGGATCATTCTTGGCTGCTTTGGTTGCTTTCAGCCGCGGCCTCCATCTCTAGTGTTTCTTCAGTAAGGATAACTAGAGGCATCAAATTTTCAACCTCTGCAAAAGTGGAAGTCATTAGTAAGTGGGACGCAGGAAGCCTTGAGATAATTTCTACACACACTTACTTTGAATCAAGTGCTTTCCATAGGTATACTTTTTCAAAGATGGAATATGAGGACGAATGCGATTTACTAACAAATCTCTTTGTTCGCCTTCAACAACGTCTAACATTTTCTGGACAACATAGTTTGCGTATTGGTCTTTCATCATGGCAGCCAGTGGGTATGTGCTGGAAACAGATATCAATACGTTAGTTGAAAGCGCAAGGAACACGTTTCAAGCTGTAAAGCAAGCCACTCACCCATCAGGTCTGACTTGCAAGACTTCTTCAATAAGCAGCCGGCGCTCTTCTCTAGTACCGTAATCGACACATTTTTCCACAACATTGCTGGCAAACTTATGCTTGCTAAGCTGCAAAACTTGTCCGCGTATCTTGAGCACGACCATAGATTTATCGCTAGGTCGTCCTCTCTCCAGAATATGTTGAATAACATAATTGCCATACTGATCTTGGACTAGCTGAGCTGTACATCTATGAAGTTCGCCAAGAAGAGCCTCCTATTGGAAGAGATATGAGAAATGGGTCCAAGTAAATCGGGGTTTCCCATGCTTCCACTCAAGTGATTGTACTTACCGTTTGTTCCTCTTTGCAATGTTCAAACATTCGTTGTATCACACGGCAACCATATGGATGAGTAGCAAGAGAATAGACTTGACCGTGGAAAGCGTCAATGATGAACTGAATATGAGGTCCAGGAATACGCTCTATTGCCTACATAAACAAGTCAGTTCCAGATTCTCTATTAAGGACACTCTGTCTCAGTCGCCTTTACCTTTTGAATGACGTGGTTGCCATTTTGATCCCTAACACACTTCAATACAGTACCGTCCAATTCGCGAACCAAGGAAGCTTGTTGCTCCGTGAGAACATGCTCCAAAGCCTTTTGAACAACTCGACAGCCATACATTTGCAAAGAAAGAGTGAGAACATGGCCTTCCATCTGCTTTGCCAGGATTGACTTTTGCATTTGGTTTCCATGTTCGAAGAACTTCTGTACAACATAATTGCCAAACACGTCCGTCATTAATTGGAGTGCATTTGGAATGATTTCCTCAAACACAAGTTGCTTTTCTTCACTGTTGGCAGTTTCCAGTTTCTGCTGGATAAAGCGAGAGCCGTGTTGATCTCCACTAAACTCTACAATGTGTCCAGCAATATCCTGGTTGTAACGCAATGCCATGTTAATCATATTCTCTCGTCAGACGACACGTAATGATCCAGACTGCCTACCTTTAGTTCACATTTCCTATTTTTGGTATTTCTAAACTCTTCCAAGAGCGGGCTCCTCATACTGGATCCAATATCAGCTTGGTTAGGTGGACGAATCGGCTGACTTTTACCGCGTGTAACCGCAGAGTAAGATTGTTGCATAGGTGGTTGAGGTAGAAATTCTTGCTGTCCTTGTTGTCGATAAAGCTGGTCCCGAGCAGCCAAAATCTGATGTTGCTGCTGAAGCAGTAGCTGTTGGTGTTGAACTTGAAGAGTTCGAAGCTTACTACTTTCCGGGCCTTGTTGCATTCCGACTTTTGTTGGCCCTCCATATCCGGTAGGTGCAGTCAACGGTGTACTTGAGCTCCCTAGGCCCATACTTGCAGCTGCCGCAGAAATAGACGGACCTGCGGTGTTGGAGTTTGCAAAATGGTTGCTGCTGATTGGCATATAATCCTGTCCTTTGTAATTCCGGCCACTCATATTCGAAAGTGGACCCATGTTAGGGCCAGGCGAAAATGGTGGTTGCTGTTGCTGCCCAAAGCTGTCCATGCCGGCCGGTTTATTCTTGTAACTGTCCAAATATCCCATTTCCGGATTTTTCAGATTGCGATTCAAGGATGTATCCTCTTCAAAGTTCCAAGCACGGTACATATCGTACGAATCAGAGCGTTTCGGACCAGGTGGGCTTAATTCACTAAATGATGTATACTCATGGCCTGCAGAGAGTGGGGCAGGTGAAATAAGACCATTATTCGTATATCGCTGCCGGAATGTTGGTGGTACGGCGTACAACTCTGGACTTCCAGGATTGGTATGTATCTGCCTTCCACTATGCATCTGGGGTGGATTGGGACTATATGGCCCTGGACTAGGAGGATTGCCATGCATATGACGACCATAGAGGGGAGAAGGTACGTTAAATGTATCAGGACTGCCAGGGGTGGTATGAATTTGTCGACCATGGAATGCAGGTTGATAGTCGGAAGGATATTGTTGTGTACCTTGCATATGGGGATACCCGTGATAGTCATTCTGAGTGGTTTAGGTCATGGTCAATACAACTCTTTTCCCACACAAAATATAGTATAGCTATGCTTACGTTCATGTCCAAGTCGTTAAATTGCCTTGCAAGTGCAGTAGGATCCCCATTCATATACTCCAAATTTTCCGCGTGTGAGTTATTGAAGGCTAAATTATGTACTGGCGGTGTAGAGTTGGCACGCGGAGGTTGCTGACCGGAACTTGCATGCTGATTGAGTGGCGGTGAAAAAGCCCGGATTGGACCGACTTTAGATGACGGTACTTGGTTCTTGAAACTGTTCTCATCATAAACTTTCTGTTGCTGTGGAGGCATGTTTCCAAACGACATTGGCGATTTCGAAGATTCAGTATAGCCTCGGTTCATCGACGAAGAGTTGTCTTCAACGAAGTTTAATGGTGAACGAAGTTTATCTCGATATTGGGAAGCTTTGACTTCAGCATCCAACTGCGTGTTGTTGACTGAGTCATCAGAGCCGCCTAGCATACTGGAGACATTACCTGCCTGCCTTTGACGTCCATGAGGTAAAGCAAAAAGAGCAGAAGATGTTTGAGGATATCCCTACAAGATCAAAACGCATACATGATGAAAACTCTGATACCTGAACATATACTGTACATCTCGCACAACAACCTACCTCTTGAAACATATCAGTTATTCGTCTACCCTTTTTAGAACCGCCGCTTGTGTCAGATGAGGGTGATCGCAGCCTTCCTTGCATTGGATTGAAGTTGTCATCGTAGTCATGTCCACTTTGCTTTTCGTTCAGGTCATCTACAATGACGGATGAAAAGATATATTAGTGAGTGGAAATACCGTTCATGTTTCCTGAACAGGGAAGAAGTAACAAAAAGCTTACCACGACTCATACCAGATGTATTGCCTCCAGAAGTTGGGTTTTGCCACAATAACCAAGGTTGCGATGACAAGTCTTGGCTGGGCCCAGGTCTTCGTAGGTCGTATCGTGACGAAGGCGGCATTTGATTTCCAGCAAGCTCAAACTGATACCTTGCTTCATTGCTCATTGGATTATCAGTAGTCGCTAAAGTTGAAGAGCCAGTCTGAGCTGGTGTTGTCGGAGCACTATTCGATCTGATATGCATTTGATCTGATCCATAGCTGCCACGATTGCCCGATAACCCGTTCGACGTAAAAGGGTCGTAGTCATCTAAACGATCTCGGAGGAGAGCAGCTAACTATTGAATTGAGGATTTTGAATCAAGGTTAATAAAAGGTTGGATGCAGAAATCGATGACGAAGTTGTGTACACAAAAAATGAGCAAGGCCAAGACGGGGCTACAAAGCTGAGGTCCAAACTGTTTGGATGGGCGAGATGGAATCGCACTAGTAATGAGCACTTTCATGCTGGCTACCCATACAGAATAGGATTCATACTTGTCGTCACCCGCATTGCTTCTCACTTATGATATATCATTCCGAGACAAACACAGTACCTGGCCTTGTGGCTGGATTTTAGCCGTCGGTTGACGAATCGATTCAGTCTTTTGAGATGCGGAAGGAGATGACCGTTGCTCGTCCAATTGAGTGTTCGAGCGACTAGGTAACATGCTGACGTGTAAATGTCAATAGCGTACGCAGTGATTCCAGCGTAAGACAGATAATTTGGAGGTTAAAAAAAATGTAAATGGCAAGTAGTTGCAATTGTGTTCTTAGAACACGTGGTCAAAACAAAAATAAAGAAAATATATAGAAAAAAAGCAGGGAATCTGACAAAGGGAGTGTGAAAGGGAGGTAAAGGAATCCAAACCGAACCCTTGTGTAAGCGATAAAGTGGAAAGCGACAACGAATGCGAAGAGTAGGAAGAAAAGGTTGACCTACCGACTTTCTCTCGCGTGACTTGTAATGGGTTGATTTTTCACAGCGCAATTGCGCGGACACTCGTCTGCAATACACTTGGCGCCAAAACTATGTTTTTTATTGAAAATTCACGATGTACAAAATATGAAAAAAAAATAAGAATAGTAACTTAGAATGAATGAAACAAAATATACTTCATGTCTGATTCTCGCAGACAAAATGTCGCAAGGAAAGCTAAGCGTGCTACCAATGAAATATACTGATCCTACTCCTGCCACGGCTAGCGATAGCTTCATACATCAATCAGCGTTTGTCGTTATATGGTAGTAACGTGGATTGCAAGTTCCAAAGATAGTCTGAGACGTCGCCTACGACGAAACTATCCGTTCGACTTCTTTGAGCGTTGGATGTGCTATCTCCATTAATGGTATCGCTCAGTTTTTGGAACGACTGCATCCGATCCAGGCTATCAGATGACTTGGCCACGCTAATCTGACAAGGCGAACTCTGTTGTCTTCTGCGACCTTTTTCAACTTTCACACTGCGTTGCTTTTCGTGTGTTTTTTGATGCTGTGATAAATTGTCAGATCGCGAGAACCTTTTGCCGCAAGAAGGGCACTGGTAGGGGCGCTCACAGGTGTGCGTCCTCATATGGCGCTTGAGATGCTCTAATCGCTTGAAAGCTCTGTTACATGAAGATAAAGGACAATTGTATGCTCTAACAGTGTTGCTTTTGGTATCGTTGTTGGGAATGACTTGCTTTGCTAGGATGTCTGCCGTAGTACTATTATTGTTGATAGCTGTATCGACATCAAATGTAAATATGGGTATAAATGGATTATCACCATTCATAGATCTACTGTTAGTGTGTCTTCTCGCTCTTTTTCCAGCTGTGCTCATTGGCTGCGATGCCATGGGAACGTTGACTGAGGTTGCTCGACGACGTCGTTGCTTGTATGCACTGGCAGTATCATACAATGGGAAGGAGCCGACAATAGCATTTGAGAGACTAGGGGTGTCCAATTGAGGGGACGTTGTTGGTATTATAATATTGGAGAATTCTTGACTGCCGTTAATAGCTAAGTCAGGCACAGATATATACGAATTGTCGAAGGTGACCTTCATTTCATGATTGGCATGGAAGATGTGAGAGTCGTTGATTTTGGTATCAGTAAGTGGAGACAAATCACAAGCGTTGTGTGACAAAAAGGAGCCTGATGCGCTAGATTCACCGATACTATTTTTCCAGAAATATTCGGATGGAGCGTACGTTAGGTCACGATTGATAGCAAGAGAGTCCACTGAAATTTCTCCTTCAGACATTGAACTATTTTCAGTTTGTGAATCCATGGAATTCCAATTTCCAAGAGGAATATCACTTTGGCCATCAATTTGCATGGCCGATAAGAACTCGAATAAATCATCTTCGCTTGTGCTGTACTTGTCCAGTGTAGTTTGAGAGCTTTTTTGTAAAAGAACCTTAGTATCATTTTGGACATAAGAACCAGTCAATCCCAAGTCCGGTGTTGTATTGATATCCTCTAGTGAAATAGACAACGGGTTGTTTCTAGTGTCCGCGGCGGCAAGCTGAGTAGACTTCTGCAATGAGTCTGACAATTGTTGTACTTTGTTAAATGTAAAAGAGAGCGAAGGTTCAGCAAAAGCAATGGTGGATGTTTCCATTCCCATGTTTTCTCGTTTGAGGTCCCTCTCCAGAGCATCCAAGAACAGTCTGTCGTGTGGAACAGAAAACCAGCAAAATACTTTTTGTTTCTTCTGCGTTCGGATACATTTGTACTTGTATAGTAAATCTAAGAAATCCGATTTAGGGCATTCCAGGCAGGAGTCAGTTCCTGGCTTAAGGTTACGAAGATCGCTAAAGATGCCTTCTTCAAATTTCTTGATGTTGGTAACAAGTCGACCAAATGCGTGAAACCTAAAGAGTAAGGACCGAACAATGTCGGTTCCAGTGATGTATAGCAACCCTTTCCATAGAACGCAGGAAATTGAGTCGCATGTGCCAGGTAGTACACAACGTTTTATCATCATGCTACCATCGACTTGATCCCATGAAGAGGGTGCTTCAAAGAGAAATTTTTTGACGTCCTCAATCATGGCGAGTCGCGTATGAGCATCCTCAGTGACGCATAGGTTTGCAAGTGATGATTGAAGGTTATCAAAGGTCGTATCTACTGTGGCTAGTGTCATTGATCTACAATAATAAATGTGCGAAATGCGGAAACAAGGGAATGATGATGCAATGCAACAAGATGCTAGAGAACTAGATGGACTATGATTGATTTTTTCAAAGCAATGTAGAATGAAGTGGAAGGAAAAGTGAAGCAAAAAAATATATACATATTAAGTGGGCAAGCCGTATTTAAGTGAGGAGCCTTTCGACGCAATAAAATTTCACCATTGTATGGAATGCAATCAAAAAAGGAAATTGATACAAAGCAAAGCGCTGCCACTCATCCCTTTGCAATACGAGGGTCAGCTCACGTCTAAATTGAAATTATATTGAGCTTGCGAGGTAGCCACTCAGATGTCTTTCCGTAATTTTTCATACAACCAACATGCCACGTTGTCGGATTAGAATAATCTATTTTTATTACCTCATCTTCCACCACAAGTCGCTATATTTTTTAGTGAAATGGAGAGTTACTTACGAGCAAATGGATTATTTGCACTTGATGTAATGTGCTGGACATCCCTGCGCTCCCTTGAATTGCCTTAAACCAATCAGTGGTTTCCGCCATATTTATGTGTAAAAACTCAATACAGTAGTAGCTACGACGTCATTTTTAAGCGAGAAGAGAAGTCCAGACAAGTGACAGAGCTCAACTGACTCGTTTACTACTGAACTCTTTTTACACCATGCAATTTAAGATCGGCTTTTTAGCTGTATTAGTCTTGCTGGTAAACGCTGTATTTGCACAATTGGTACCGTTCGACTTCGACGATAAGACATTCAAGAGCGTTATGGAAGCTGCTATGAATTCTGACAAGCAAGAAGGCAAAAAAATATTGTACCAAGAGGATGCGCCTGACTATCGGTCAAATGGCGAAGGAGACTCACCTCAGTCTCTGTTCGATCACTTACCGAGAGACCCTGCTCTCTCCACCTTCCTTGATATTTTGATGCAAGTCGATGATGTCTTACAGCTTATGAACGATCCTTACGCCGAACCAAAGTTCACACTTTTTGCTCCTACCAACACAGCCTTTAAGGCATATATAAGTAACAGCGATAACCGAGCGACTTTATACTCAGAAGACGGTTTCAAAAACTTTCTGCTTTGTCACATCGTTCCTCATGGAAAGTACAGCATCAAGGACCTTGAAAAAGCAAAGAAACTGGAAACGGCTACTAGCGGTCGCTCCATTTCCGTCCATTACAACTGGATCACAGGTATCACTCTTGACAAAAAGGCTAAAGTCGATTCCAATTTTATTGATGCTATGAATGGCATTGCGTACAAAATTGATCATGTTTTGGAACAAGCAAAATAGCCTGTAGCTTACCATCTCCTCCCGTTTGTCAATTACACACCTTCTTCCACTCAAATCTGATGTATATATTATTTTGATAAAATTTTGTATCATACAACCCGAAAGCTAGTTTTTGTTTCATTTCGTGTGGGATGAGTAGTGTTTCAATAGCACTGCAGTATATATTAGATGAGTGTGACTAGACGTCATTGCAGCTCTGTTTCCTTTCATTTGAGAGGGGAGCGACCTTACTCTGGCGGGGCCAAACATATCATGCTTGTCTTGCGGAATCAAAAGGGCATACTTGTATACACTTCAGGAGTGCTTTGGTTTCAATTGCCAGCATAAAGCGTAGAATGTTAGCAGAAATTCAGCTATTCTACTTTTTTGTTTTCTTAAGATGTTACAGTCCACCAATGACTTGATCTTCCAGTCACATACCACTTGTCCTTGTAACATTGAAAAGTAAAAAATATAAAATGTTTTGTAATGCATATGTTATCATTTCCTGCTTTTTTTTATATACATGATATCGTACTTTGGGGTGTCATGTTCAGCAAAACGACCACCCCTAATCTCTATAAGCTGTAGAAAGTTTGAAGTTGGACTAGTTTACTGGCGCTTTGGTCTTTCAGCATGAGGAAGTTCCAAAACAGCACGAAGCTGGGCATCAGGCTCGTCCTTTTCGTGCTTGTCCTCATCACCAGCATACACGGACAAGCCTGCTGACGCCATAAGTACCGCAATTGTGACTGCTTGGGCGTACATTCTTGCTTGCACCACCTTTTGCTGTGTGGTTAGGTACTTGTTAGAGAAGCTGTACGTAAGGGCGCCAGCCATCGAAACAAGCCAAGAACCAGCTGTATGGTTATTTCATCATTAGTACGAAAGCATACCAAAATTGTTAAAAGTCAATGAAGCTCACCAATAATGCTCCATCTGTTGGAGTTCAAGTAATGAACGATGCTGTCCTTGGCAGTGAGTCGGTCCCCACCATCTTCTCTTGCTAATTTCATAAGTTCTTCTTCGTCCAAATAGCCATATTCAGCATTTTCGTACTTTGTAGCATCTCGCTCCGAACCAAACAGATATCCAGCAACAGATGCTATGTTGACAGAATTGCATTATTACTTTCCACTCGAGACAAGAAGAGATAACCATAAGCACTTACCAGAGCCCAGCAACATTGACTTCATAGGTGTTGAAATTGCTTGGAAGTTGGGAGATCGCTTCTGAGCGACCACAGTGGTAATAAGTCCAAGACCCAAACCAAAGGCGGCTCCTTTGAGACCTCCCATAAAAGAGATATGAGACAACTTTTCTTGTTGCTCTCTTGTGAGTTGCTTGGAAGACATTATGGTGGAAGATTAAGTTGTGGAAGTTGGCAAAAAGGATAAAAAACAATGCAACGGGGTGAGACGGGTCGTCCGGGTCAAAAATTCCAAATCATGTCATGATAATTAAGCTCCGACTTGCATTATTACATACGGCGCTCCGAACAATTTTTTTTTATGTACATCATGAAGAACGGTTTTTCCGTTTACTAGAAGTAACAGTCATATTATTCCATAATGCATCATCCTCTTCATCCACATCCTTCTTGGCTGGCTCCTCAACATAATGGTCTTCATCTACAATTATAGCTGTTAATCGTTGCTTAAGATAGGCTTTGTTCAACAGCTTGCGGTGAATGGAGGTAGTTTCGTGTATTCTCAAGAAACGATCAAGTGAGACACTGACGACAATTTTGGAATTATTTGCGTTGTCAGTAGTTGTGCAAAATGCTGTGGCTGCTCCAGTCAACCCTATAATATAACATTGTAAGTTAGTATTAATCATTATAGATAGGATACTTCCAATCCTATGTATCCGAATTACCTTTGTATTGAGCCACGATCTTTCCGGTCTTGATATCTATGGCTCCCAAATCATTGGTGGTGTCTGCATAAAGGATTTGGTTATCATTGATTCCGACGCTTATTCGTTTTATGGGCTTATTGCCGACTTCTACGTCAAGGACTGGTCGGCGGGCTGTTTTGATATCGTACACTCTAATCTATTATAGTAGATGATGAATGACTGAAAAATAACATGCATGGTAAAGACTCTGGCAAAATTATATATACCTGATGGTAATGGGTTGCAGTGACCAATCGATTCGCTTCCTCGTCTACAAATTGAAGGTCGGTAATCCATACGGGTACTCGCAAGTCGAGATAATCGTTTTTGACCTGAAAGGAAAAGATATTAACATCAGATTTTTTTACAACAATGACTCGGGGATTGTATCACGAACATTTTTTGCTTGAAAAAGCTGCCCTTTGCTTGATTCTTTCTGTTTCTTATATTTGGCGGTGCTATTTTCTGTGTTTGTAGGTGCAGGCGTGGTATCCTCCTCTTTGCCGCTCAAGACATTCATGTCATACACAGTCAGCTCCCTTTCCTTTCCTCCAACAGCAAGGATATGGCTCTTGCTTGGGTGTACTCTTGCACAGGTGAGATCTTTGCCGAGGGAAGCAATGACAGTTGTGGACTTGGGGTCAGATTTCATGTCTGTCCATGATATCTGTCCATTGGATGATGCGGTAAAAAGCATCCTATTGTTAAATGTTAATATAAACGAGCCATTGACACCAGTTCCGCAGTGAATGGCAAGGACTTACCCGTCCTTGAACGACAGTCCAATGAAGGATCCCTCTTTTTTGGGTCCAACACAAATATTCTCATCTACCATCTCCTTAATTATTGACCCATCTTCTGGAGACATGAATTGAATCTTGCCGTTCTTGCGCGCTACAATCAGCTGCATAGACATTTTAGTATAATGTATGTCACCGGGCATGCCAAACTACAGTTTGGTACCTGTTTCTGGTCGTCAATGACCGCCCAAGCCATCTTCTCAACGCCCTCATCCTTGCTAACTGTTCCGAAAACATTGATCTGGAGTTTTGGGGCTTCCTTTTGTTTGTCTTCGTCGTTTTCTTCGGCTGGCTTTTGCTTCTTCACCCTCTTTTCGTCTACAGGAGCCGGGAAGACAATAGCTGCAATACATCACACTGGTTACAATTTCAATCTTCCTAGTATTGAACTAAACCCGTTATCAACCTACATTTGACCAATCCGCTCTCATCGCCTGTAAAATAACGCATGATCTGAAAGTGAATGGGGGGCCAGAAAGCAAAAAAGTTGCTATAAAATGAAAAAATTGTGACACGTTTTTTTTCAACGGGTTGAACAATTTCGGATGACGAAATGGGACTCCAGGCACAGTGACTGGACAAACTCGAACTCTTCAACATGCCATCTAAAAAGGACAAAGGAAAGGCCAAGGCGACTGACGCCCCACCAAAGGAGATCACTCAAAAAGATCTTGAAAAGCTCGCAAAGGATGTCGACAAGATCGCTAGCAAGGTACAGCACCGTCAAGAAAAGGCTTTAGCTAAAGGCGAACCCATCAAGGAAAAGAAGATCGATCCAGCTAAGGAGGCGGAAATGAGAAAGAAAATCGAAGCCATGGTTCAAGCACTTTCCAATATGGAACAGACTGGAGCCATCAAGGCATCAGGAAGAAAAGATATGGGCGACCACAAATTCTGGAACACCCAGCCTGTTCTTCAGCATGGTGAGTGCAAAGGCACGACGGTTGTTGATGACATAGTGAGATCAGCATTTTTCTGAGCAACATTTATAGGCGAAGATGTAACGGAAGAAGGCCCTATTGACCCGGCGGTGCCTCGGGATCAAGTACAGCAAGAGCCTTACCCATTGCCTAAAGAATTTGAGTGGTGTGAAGTGGACATTCAAGATGACAAGCAGGTATGAAACGACTTTTATCCATCTTTGTGCATTAGGAAAATGTTCCAGTTACTGAATTTGACAAAAAATTATTACACCCTTGGTTAGATTATTGAGTTGTACCAATTGCTGACAATGAATTACGTGGAGGATGACGACGCGCAATTCAGGTTTGATTACTCTGCTCCATTTTTGAAGTGGTAAGTGCATGCTCAAACCCAAGCCCACTTCAAACCAACTTTATATTAATGCCAGATCAGGGCTCTACAGCCTCCTGGTTGGAGAAAATCATGGCACGTCGGTGTACGAGTCAGCTCCAACAAGAAGTTAGTCGCATTCATCAGCGGTATTCCTGCAGCCGTTCGATCTCATAAGACGTGAGTACTGTAATACGTTGGTTACTGCTTCACGCTCATGGTTATAACATTTTGAAATTACTAGGCTTCATCATCTAACAGAGATCAACTATCTATGTGTCCATAAGAAACTTCGCTCCAAGCGATTGGCTCCAGTCCTGATCAAAGAAATTACCCGTCGTAGTCACTTGGAAGGTGTTTTTCAAGCTGCCTATACAGGTGGCATCGTTTTACCTACGCCCATTGCTACTTGCAGATACTACCATCGATCGCTTAATCCCAAGAAGTTGGTAGAATGCAACTTTTCTCGTGTTCCCAGAAACTCAACCATATCAGCCATGGTCAAAAAGTTCAAAGTCGCAGAACAACCGTCCACCCCTGGTCTTCGTGAGATGAAACCTGAAGATGCTACACAAGTTCGTGAGCTTTTGAATAAGTATCTCAGCAAATTTGATGTTGCCCCTGTGTTTGAAACCGATGACGACGTCCGTCATTGGCTTGCGCCAACTCCCGAGGTGGTTTGGAGTTATGTAGTGGAGGTAAATGCCTTTCTTTATGTATTGCATTCGTGCTGAGAAATGAGATACTCACTGGATGATTGATTTTCTATAGGACACCAAGACCCATAAAATCACGGACTTCTTTTCATTCTACACACTGCCTTCATCTGTCATAGGAAATGATAAACACAAAAGTCTCAATGCCGCCTACATGTTTTACTATGCAATCGATATCCCGGAGAAAGAAGCTGCAGACAGCTACGATACTGCAAGATATACGAAACAGAGATTAACGGAGCTAATGCGGGACGCTTTGGTTCTTGCGAAACAGGTTTGTGTATACTATGTAATTCGGCGCAAATTCTATCTACTTTTCTCATGTTGTTCTATTCCTTTCTTAACCCAATATAGGCCGACTTTGATGTTTTCAACGCATTGAATTTGATGGACAATTCCATGTTCATAGATGATCTTAAATTTGGACCTGGTGATGGCTATCTTAATTATTACCTGTATAACTGGAAATGTCGTGACATTAAACCCCATAAAGTTGGCCTGGTCATGCTCTAGATGATGAATATGGCAAGGAAAATAAAAACCACCACCCCACAACCACGAAAAACCTTGTGTGATTGCAAATGATGATTATGAGATAGAAGCACGGGCTCTGCTTTATGTTTGTTGTAACGCAAGACGAAAAAAAAAGTCGGTTGCGAGTTCCAAGATAGGAGGAGCTATCGGAACGTCGAAGATCGGGTTACGTACGTTACGGTTTTGAAAACTGCCACTGACCAAACCTGGATTGCTTACAACTATGAGGCTCCTTATGCCAGGTGACCGTGCGTATTCCTTTAGTCTCTTGCCCAGCATGGACGGCATCTGAAAGAAGTTCTTTCGAAATGATTTGATAGCCTTATCCATCATTTGCGTCAGAAAGTGATAATCCATATTCCTTTGTTTATATTCTTCCTAACCAGACAGGTTGCAGCGAAGGCATTTTTTCCTGCGTCAGGTCCCACCCCCCAGTAACGAAAACAAAGCCGCAAGGTCTTACCATAAAGAGGACACCATACCTATTTGCCAATATACCCGCCCGCCTCTTTTTTTTTTTTTTTGGTTTTTCATATTTTTTTTCTCCTTCTCTCGATCTTTATCTCTTGCCATGTCTCGTTCAAATTCACCTAAACTGCAAGTCTTAAAGCTTGACGAAATGAATGAGTCTCCGAGTCCAGAAGTACTACCGCAATACGATGATTATCATATACCGACAGTGACTTATGTCCCATATTATATTCCCGTCGGCGTACCAATGCCACCTCCTCCAAAGCGGATTCATCGATTTCTGTCAACGCTTGGACGGAAACACAAACGTTTTCCTCATTATCCATGTCACGGACCACCTCCTCCACCTTTATGCTACTCTCCAGTATTTCCCGCCTCAGTGCCTAATTATGCTATGCCCATGCCTGGCGAAGAAATGATGTATCAACCTCACATGATGGGTATGCCTGTAGACCAAGGGCTGCCAATGTATCCGCCTTTCCCAATGCAATCCTTACACTCTTGAACAGCCAATTATCTACTTGCGCTAGTCTGTACACATATTCAAATAAAAATTGCAATACTTCAAAATTACATTGTTGATTGATGATCAAGCAACTTTTATCTTTTTTTTTTCATTTTGTTTTGGTGGCAAGGATTTTTTGACTTTTGCTTATGGAAGAGCCAGGATCGGGGGTTCAAAATTTCAAAGGAGATGAAAGTTTGCCAAACCGTCAGAACGAAAACCTGTCATCATGTTGTCTTTCATCTATTCCGGTCAGTGACATCACATTTGCACCCAAAACGCATCATTCTCTTTGGATGTTCATCATCCGTCTTTTCATTGTACAGTATTTTTCTGGATTGGCTTCCTCGCGGTTGTACCTTACCTTGCCCTGGTTGCCTACGCCGCGTATGGTTGCCCCGAGCAAAACTTGAAAACAAAGTACAACGCCAAATGGTAGGTTCTTTTACATGGCTTTTCACGTAAAAATGGCGGGGTGGACTGACTTCTTTTCTTTTTTCTCTTCTTAGGGCATTGGTTACTGGAGGTTCGTCGGGTATTGGAGCTGCCATTGTTCGTAAATTGGCTTCACAAGGTTTGAACGTTGTTGTTGCTGCTCTTGACGACCAAACTCTCGTCAACTTCAAGTCCGAGATTCAGAAGGAATTCCCTTCACGTGAATTCCGTTTTGTTGGATGTGATTTGTCGACTCCCGATGGTCAAGCTTATATGGATGCCGTCAAGAAAGCTACCGCCGACATTGATGTGCAGATTCTCTGCAACAACGCTGGATTCATTACCACTGGATGCTTCGCTGATATTACCTTCGGCCGCAACATGGCCAACTATCACACCAATGTCACTTCCGGCGTTATCATGTCCCACTATTTCCTTAACAGAATGCTCGAGAAGGGTCAGAGAGGTCTCATCACCTTCACCTCTAGCAGTGCTGGTTTTATCCCCAACCCAATGAGCGCTTTGTATTGTGAGTTCTCTATTTGCATGTCTGAATATTGTCTATAGAGCGAGCGAGATCTCTTACTTTTCATCTAGCTTCCACCAAGATCTTCCTCACTACGTTTGCCGCTTCTTTGGCTGCCGAGACCGCCGAAGACAAGATTGATGTTCTGGTTGTGGTATGTGTTGAAAAATTTGCGGTAAATGCTAACGCCTTGAAACGTGCGTGACGAACTCATATTTTTTCTTTCTATAGCACCCTTCACCCATCAACTCCAACTTTTATAGCAACGCCGGAAAGATGTCTGCCCTTCTTTCTGCTCAAAAAATTTCTTCTCCTCCTTCTGTGATTGCTGAAACTATCTGCCGCAATGCTGGAAAGGTTGTTGTTGCTGACCAAGGTCCTATCACCGTGATCATGAAGATTGTTCTCTCTAAGGTACTTGATTGGAACGTCTTTACTGAAATCATGAAGCTTGCCTTGCCTTTCACTGGAGATTATAAGGCCATGAAAGTCAAGCGCAACGCCAAGTCTCAGTAAACCCAAGCTAGCTTGTAGCAACCCCACCCCTTCCAAATACGCGTTTTTAGCGCGTATATCATCAAACAAAACAAAGTTATTGAAATAAAAAAAAAAGTAATAGTGACACTGTTGATACCATGGCGTAAAAAATACAAATCATGTATATTGTGTTATCAACCTAATGGAATTCAATAAATGGCCTACCAATAGTGGCAAGAAAACAAGTCTACCAACCCTTCCAAGGTATGCCCACAATGCCGCGTATGCAGGTACCCTACTCACATCATTATAGAATCAAACAGGGCATTTCTTTGTTTTCAAAAATGTCTAACAGTACAACTATGGAGTTACTGTATTTTCAGCAGTGTGCGCAATAAAAGTCAATGATACAAAAGGAAGTAGAAAAAGAAGGTCAAGCAAAATAGCACAAAGAGGGAGACAAAAGAATAGAAACTTTTTTTAAAGAGGAGAAAAATACATGATCTAATCTCGGTTCTTTGGCTTATCGACCACTTCCAAAATTAAATCTCTGGCCATCGCGATGCCTGCACGGGTACCAGTGATCACCACGACGTCTCCGTCCTTGTTGGGAACGAGAATGTTGGTATCAGACTCGCCTCGGATACGGGAAATAGTGGCTCCTTGTCTACCAACGATGTAGCGATGCATGGATTGAGGAACAGTGAGGTATCCAGTGTGGGTTTGGTTGTGCTATGAAAAGGAAAAATGGCGGTTAATGATTGAACAAAGCCGCAAAGTCTACATGAAGAAAAATTGCTTACAGCATCCTTGAGGAGGTTCTTGATGTACTTTTGAGCCTTCTCGATGTTCTTTTGGTCACCCTTGAGGACCCAGGTGATGTCACCTTCCTCATTGCTGCCTTCGTTCTCTATTATTTCCAAGTTGAAGTCGTCGCTGCCTTCAGTCGTATCAATACGAGCAGCAGAGCCGTTCAAAGCACCAGTCTTCTTGTTGGCTTTTGGCTCAGGTTCGCCCTTGTGATCAACAACGACGTTGAACTCGTTGCGAAGCTTGCGGTAAGTAGCGCCATTGCTTCCAGTAACGGCGGCGTGATGCTTCCGTGGGATAAGCATCTCTTGTGTAGCACGAACCTTGCTCTATAAAAGATAACATGAGGTCAATGTCTACTACCTTTGACGGTACTTTTTTCTCTCTCTACACAAACTTACCAGCATATCAGCCTTGCACTTTTCGCAGTCTTCAGGTAAACCAGCAATAGTGACGGGTTCCTTGGAAGAGGCATTACCAGCCTTGGGGAAGTCGATTCTAACGTTGTATTTCTTTTGCAAGGCCTTCAAGTTGGAACCTCCGCGGCCAATCAGATTGGCATGCTCATCTCGGGGAATATCAACATTGACAGTGACAAGAGCTTCTTCATCAGCAACAAGTTGCTCCAACTTGGCACGAATTTTAGCGACAATCTCCTTGTCACCCTTCAAAACAATCTCGTCCTGAACAGAGTCTTCAGGTCTTGGGAATCGGACCATGCTGGCAGCACGGTCTTCAGAGCCACCAGCTTCAACAACAATGTTGCGGATGTTTCTACCGCCGGCACCAATCAAGCGCTTATGGTGTTCAGCATTGACCTTGATGGTCTCGGTGACCTGAGAATCCAACTCTTCTATAGCTTCCAAGATAGCCTTCTTGGCATTTGCAATGCTCTGCTTAGTACCTTGGAGAGATGTGGTGACAACACCATCAACAGGCTTGTTGAAATCAATTCTAGCTTGGGTTTCATCCTTGATCTCCTTGACCTTGGCACCGTTACGACCGACAATGTGGGGAAGGTGCTTGGCGTCAAAAGTGAAGACTGCAACATTGTTGTTCTCAACCTCATATTCATAGAGCTCCAAAAGTTCAGCCTTGGCAGCTGCAACGCCCTTCTTTCCACCACTCAAAGTGATTTCATCGGTAGAAGACTTGTCAGCTACGCTTGAGACTTCACTGCTGTTGTCATCAGATGCATCAGCAGAAGCGTCACTGCGGGGGAATTGAATGCGGACACTGTATTTATCTTCGAGCTTCTTGACATAGCGACCGCTGGTACCGATAAGACTCTTGTGATATTGGCGGGGAATGCTCAAGCTGGTGACGGTTCTGTCAGCCAAGCTCTCAATCAAAGCCATGATACGGTCCTTGGCAGCTTCGACATTGGTCTTAATACCCTTGATGGTAACCTTGACCTTATCAGTCTTGGGGGTTGCCTTGGCAGGAGTGCCCTCAGACTTAGCTTTGCCATCTTCAATATCAATTTTGACACCGAGATCATCCTTCAACTTGTTGATGTTAGCACCAGCCTTGCCAATAACATGGGCAGAGTATTCGGCAGGGATGACACACTCAGTCACGTAAGAGTTGAGGAAATCTTCATGCTTGGCTTCTTCGTGAACACGGTTGATTTCTTGAACAACGCGGTTGACCTCCTCAGTAGGACCACGAATGACAATGGCATCCTCGGCAAGATCAGCGTTACGTGGCTTGTCACCAGAAGGAGCAGCAGATCCAAACTTGACGAAAACTTGGTTATCAGCGCCAGATCCAATGATAGCATTCAAAGTAGTACGCTTGGGTCCAATGATGGCTCCGTGGAACTTGGCAGGAACCTTGATAGTCTTGGAGGTGAAGTCAGAAATGTCGGCAGCCATCTTGCTCAATTCAGCAGAGGCAGCATCCAAAGCTTCCTTAATCTTTGCGTCCTTTGCCTTTTGATCCAATCCTTCAAGTTCACTGGCCTTGCCCTCGAAAACAAGAAGAATTTCACTGCTCTCCTCCTTCTCATCAGGAGTGATAATGCTAACGGCATGGGCTTCGCTCAAACGCTGAATGTTTTGTCCCTTGCGTCCAATAATGTGACGATGGAAATGGGGTTCAATGTCGGCATAGCCAAAGTAGTTGACTTGCAATGAGCGAGCAAGTTCATCAACAGCTTGGACAGAGTTCTCAACAGCAGATTCCTCTTTGCCAACAAATTCAAGCACAGGCTTTTGCTCAGCAATGGAACCGCGAGGAACCATAATTTGAACACCGTGTTCGGCCTCAAGCTGCTTGAGCTTACTTCCGTAGGTCAAGTAGCGCAAAAGGTTTTGTCCATGCTTTTGTTGGTCGGCAGCAGACTTGTTGACACGAGTAAGGTCAAGAACTTGAACTTGAACAGAGTTGGCCTTCTCAAATGCAAGAGCCATAGCGCTGGGAAGCTTATTCTTGGGACCACGAATGACAACTTCCTCAGAAGCATCAGTAGACGAGGGAAGTTCAACGGTACAACCTGTGGGTAGATGACAAAAATCGCTTTAGATGGTGCAATTACAATATCTGCATGCTATATCTTGCTATTGTTGCTTACCAGTCTGTTCCAAAATGTCCATCAAGTTGACGGCGTTCTTGCCGATGATGAATCTGTGTTGGCGTTTGTTGATCTCGAACTTAACAGTACCGCAAACTCTTTCGAGCTCGGCATAGGTCTTCTCGATAGACTGCTTAGCCTGTTGAACCTTTTCTCTGTCACCAGAAATGACAATAGAAGTCTCGGCCTTGTTTGCAGCCTGCTCTTCGTTATCATTATCAGCTTCAACCAAAGCAACAACACTGAAAGTAGGGATGCGAATCTTGACATCGAGTTCATCAGCAAGAGCCTTAACTTTCTTGTTGTCAGCGCCAGCAATCAAAGGATAGTAGTGAGAGTCGATGTTGTTAAGTTTGACAGTCTGGGTAGCAGTCTAAAAAAGATTCGGGGAATGTGAGTTTGCCTGTAGTCAAACTATGGATGGGTTCTTTTGCGGACGATATAAAACTACCTTTTCTCCAACAATCTTCATAATTTCGGCCTTGGCAATCTTGACACCCTCGGCATCACCAACAATGGAGATGGAGACGGGAACATCCTCAGCATCCTCGTCATCATTCTCAATAGGCTCTAAATCGGCCTTTTCCCGCTTGGGGACATTGATACGGGTACCTGAAATGTTCTGGATTTGCTTGAGAGTAGCACCCTTAGCACCAATGATGAAACGTTGAGTAGAAGAAGGGACTTCCAACTGGACATTCAACTAAAAATCACAAATAAATATTGATGAGAAAAGGTGTCAAGAAAACCAAGTTACGCCAAATTTTGATCCCGTTATGCATACCTTGACGGCCAAATTGGCTAGGATTTCACGCTTAGCCTTTGCAACATCGGCTTCCTTACCCTGAATCAGGTAGGTGATGATACCAGCACGGGATGTAGAGGCATTGATGGTAGTACTAGTCTTTGACATGACCTGCTTGATGGATTCAGCAGCGCTCTTGAAGCCCAAAGGCTTGTTAGGTTGGTTAGCGATTTGGTCTTCGCGAGCAAGTTCCAAAGTGTCAGTAACAACGTTGCGGACCTTCTTGGTAGCAGGGGTATGAGGGGCGCCGGATGGAGTAGGGGAGGCTTGCTTCAAACGAGCAGCACTACCAGCACCCCATCCAGAAACAGCAGCAGGACGCGAAGAAGATGACAAGGATGGGAAAGCGGATTCCGAGTTCAGATCAAGGCCAGCCTTCTTCTTGGGGGCGGGTTCACGTACAGGTTCAGCGACCTCTTCCTCCTTCTCCTCCTCGGCTTCCTGAGCCTCGGAAGCCTCGCCTACGGAGAGATCTCCAGAAAGAGCACCTGAAGAAAGAGTAGTAACCGATTCTATTTTAGAGTCCTGATCCTGGGCAGCTTGAGCGTGCATCAAAGCAAGCTTGGCAGAAGGAGTCAATTCTTGAGTGGCTTGCTGGTTATCGAAAGATGTGTCCATGATTACTTAGCCAAGAGGGTTCGATTAGATTAACAGCCGGTATCCGAGAGAGAGATTGACAAAACAACAAAGATCTGAAGAGTGCAGATGAGGAAACGCAGATGATGGAAGTACGCCTGATCTTCTCTGGCCACCTTTTTTTACTCACTCCGACAAGACCGGTTGCCAATGACACGTCAGAACTGCCTGGACATGCCCTAACCCTGATCCGACTGAGAGGAAACGCGCCATTGAGGCTCAACAACTTTAAATTGAAAAAGGCCGAGATCTCCAAATAATACCGCGTCTAACATGTCTCCAGCATGGTGGCCCGTCGCTGTCATTGCCTATGCTACATTGCTTTTGGCTACAGCTGCTATAGTCAATGCTACAGTCAAAGACCCGTACATGGTAAGATGTCTCGAGATCCCGCCGCCGTCCTGCATAATCTGACAGAAATTAGGACGAGATCTTTCACATACCACAGGCACAGCGATATTGCAATGGAGACTACTGGACTTGGGATCCTATGATAACCACTCCTCCAGGGCTGTAAGTTCATGAAATATCTCTATTGTTGCTTTATGGGCCTGTACTGAAACTGCTTCTTTTCTAAGCTATGTAATCAGTAGCAGCATATTAACTCCTTTCATGCAATGGCTTCAGCAAGATTTATGTACGACAGCGATTCTACGTGGGACCAATATAATTTTTGCCACCGGAATTTTAGTCGTAGTGTCAAGATTGCTCAAGGTTTTGCATCCAGGCATTGAATCCGCGCGTTTGAGCCTGTACGCGCTTGCTCTCGGCTGCTTTCCTGTATCTTTGTTCTACACATTCTTATATTATACCGATACTGGATCGACGTTTTTTGTTCTTCTCTCCTACTTACTGGCTAAGCAGCGTCGATATTGGAGTAGTGGCCTGGTAAGATATGACCACCTTATATGTATCCATCGTCTAGGCATTTAACCTGACTATGTATGGCACAGATTGCTTTGGTGTCTCTAGCCTTTCGACAGACCAATATAGTGTGGCTGATTTTCACTGCAGGGATTTCGGCCGTTGATATACTTGCTGTGAACAAAAAAAGTGATGACCGCTCCCAAGCTCTCTATAATCCCTCGGTAGATAAGGCTACGTCCATAGGTAAAGCATTCATCAGAAATGGGAAATATAAGAAGATCTATTAATTTTATTTTCCCAATAGCCCAGTATCTGCAGTCTGTGCAATCACTAGTAATTCTGGCTATAACCAAGTTGCCTCAATTGATTCCACGACTTTCAACTTTTATTCTTTCCATAGGTGCTTTCGCATCCTTTATATATTGGAACAAGGGAATCGTTTTGGGTAAGAAACCCCGTTTTTATACATCAATGTTTCATGCGGTCTTTTCACTTAACCACTTTTTCACCAGGCGACCATAGTGCCCATGTAGCTGGACTGCATTTCCCTCAACTTTTCTATTTTATTTCTTTTCTCACTTTCTTTGCCCTACCATTCATGGTAGATTCCAAAATAATGAAGCGCGTAATGCAACAACTACAAACACTTTCTCTTAGCTGGTAAGCATACTGCAGATTGCCATCAGGTCCCTTTGCGAGGCACTTATTCTGGCTTATATAGGTTTATTTCTGCGGCTGCCATTGCTTCAGGAATAATGTACCTCATTCATAATTATACGTAAGCTGTCTTTTCTTTTCCATGCATGGCAAACGATCTTTGAAATACCACTAAGCTTATTTTGTTGGAAGCTATGAGCATCCATACCTCCTAGCAGATAACCGACATTATAGCTTTTATTTATGGCGAAAGCTGTACAAGAGGCACTGGAGCGTTCGCTACCTCCTTACGCCCATCTACATGGCGTGCGGATGGCTTTGTTACATCACAATCGCCCCATCCGTGACAGTTCTCTTTCTGCTTGCATTCTCAGCAGCCACTGCGTTGACACTGGTTCCTTCTCCGCTTTTGGAGTTCCGTTACTTCATCATCCCAGTATACATTTTCCTAGTGCATATCAAGGTTCCCAGCAAATTCAAAAATGGTCTCGCTATTGTACTTTATCTATCAATCAATGCATGGACGATCTGGATGTTCTTGCATAAAGGCTTTATTTGGGATTCTGAAATAGGACGTGTCCAACGATTTATTTGGTAGAGTCTGCCACCCGCAATAGAAGCATATTCACCGCTCATATTTAGACACCTTGTTATACCAACCTCGTTTTGTCACTATGATGTATGCAGGGTTTTCCAGAGGAGATCGTCAGCTCCATAACTATGTACCATTCTACCTCCAAGGCAGCACACTCAATCCCATACAGAACATTGCGTTAGGTTCAAAATAAAATATGTTATTTCGATCGTAATTTTACAAGCCAAACAATACTTTAGCGGTGTACAGTACAATGTGATTGAAAATAAAAAAAGTTGAAAATCAAAAGATTGTAATAATGAGCTGCAGTAGTGAGATGTCTGCAATGTGGGGGAATAATGCACTAACAAAAATGGTATGTTGTAAAAGGTAGTATAGCTTATTTACCACCATTCTGAACAAGAGGGCATTGACCCGACTTGACCAGAGCAGCAACCTCATGCAAAAGCTTCTTGGGATCGGAAGCATTCTCATCGGTATAGTACATTCGGCAGTCAGCGGCGACATTATTGTATTCCAAAAGGTTGACTTCATCGCCAAACTTAGTATCGGGTAAGTTGGGTCGATAGACTTCACGGAATGTCCATCCCATATCAGCTCGCTCAGGGAATGGCTTGGGAGCTTTGGGATCATCGAGCAGATCAAGAGACTGAAGGTCCATCAAGAAAGAGGACAAACGCTCGCTTTCACCACCTGGGAAGGAAGCAAATTGCATGCGATTTCCGCGAATACCACCGAGACCAAGAGCAGGAACATTATGGATCAAGCGGAGACGAGACACGACAATGGCGCAAGTTGATCCACAGCGGCCATCAGAGAGGATCAAAAGATCGTCGGCATTCCAGCGTGAAGTGTTAAAAGCATTGTTACCAGCAAAGGCTGAATTCCAAGATTCACAGCTAAGAGATACGGGTTGAGAGAACTTGACATCGGTATTACCACGCTTATAGGTGACAGGATTTGTGTACCAATCAGCGTCTTGGGTATGGTTGGATTTATAGTCCATCCATTTTGTGGATTTCATATCAAAAGCCTTCTGAACCATGTTATCGACCAGAGAGGAATATTTGACATCAGAGTAGTAGTCGGGTGTGGAGCTGAAGAAAGAATTGATGAAGAATTCACCAGCACAAGCATCACCGCCTCCATTACCAGAGAAATCAAAGATAATTTTCTTCACATTCTTTTCTGCAAACATTTGAAGTCCGCGAGTGAAGTTCTTAACAAAGGCCTCCTTGTCTTCGCTAGCAACAGAAAAACTCTGAATGTCGATGAGACCAACATCAGAATCCTCACCGTCAAGAATAAGGAATTCTGTGTAGTCTCTGGTGGTATGTCCGATGGAGTTTTCGCTGAAATCGAATGCTTGACCAATGTGATTCTCTTGAACAGTAGGTTCGAAAAGGGGACCACGCTTGCTCAAAGCTGAAGTATGGACAGAACAGAAGGAATCCCAGTATGTATCGGCATCCGAGAATCCAGTAGGGATCTGAGCAACCCAAGGGATGGTAACAGTAATAGGCTCATCGTAGTCAGCTTGTTCTGGTTTGGTGCCATTTTTGGGACATTGCAGCGTGTATTTGTGACTTTCTTGGGCAGGAAGGAAACGATGGTAGCCAAGGTCATCAGCACCGTCATCCCATCCATGGAAGTAATCTTTGCTGTTCATGATGTTGTTCAAGCAGGTGTTGACATCCTTGCTTTCGCCATTGTTGTTGACAGCGTAGTTGACAACCATCTCCATGGCGTTGACGTCGTCGATATGAGTGACCTCGCAGTCAGTCCATTCTTTCTTGGCGTCGGCCCATAGATCATCTTTAACATAAGCGACGTTTACAATTTGACGACCGTCGCGGATGAGAGAATTGAGTTGGATGGGTTGCCAAAAGATGAACTGTCGATAGCAGTGTGGAGAATAAACCTAAATAGATCAATCAATTAATTAAAAACCGAAAAATTTCGCGTAGTGCTAAAAATAAAAGGCAAAGGCTAATTACCAGATGAGCGTCGTGGACTTTGTCCAAGATCAGCGCAATAGCGTCCTGGAAGGCTCTATCTGACTTCCATGGCTCTTTTTGAATAATATCGAGAGCTTTAGAAATGTTAACAGGTACGATAGACAACCCTTCTACTTTTGGCGGGGTAGCAGCGATTTCCTGTAGGCAAACATGTGAGCATTTTCAATGGAATTGGAGACGGGTGCAATGCATGCGGTTTTAAAAATGAATCTCACATTGAAAATGTACAAATCGTCCGTGATTTTGCGAACAATGTCGATAGTTTCGGTAGCAATGGTGTGGTTGTAAGGAAAGTATTCGAGACAAGCCTTTGCTTCGGCGAAGGTTGCAATGGGTTTGCCAGCTACGATTGCACACGGGTCCGAAGTTTGTGCTAAACTAAACGACGGCAAGGTTGCCAGAAGCAATGATGTTGCAATAGCAAACAAATTGCTAGAGAACATTGGAAAGGTGGCAAACGAACGAAAAATTGGGCCAGGTACCCTGTGCACCTCAATAAACTGGACACAGCCAACTGTTCTAAAAAAAGAACTCCGCCACACCATTCATGGTCTGGCACCAGCCGCTCAGAATTGCAAGAAACGCCGTTTTCGCGTCCGCTACGGCAGTCAGTATATTACTGATCTGAAATATCCTTCTTTAAAGTAGGAGAAGTACACTACGTGGAAAGCATCATCTTAAACAATATTCTTTTACTCTACAGTAGCAAGAATCAAAGAATGCGCAGCTTGCCACTTCGGTAAGAGGCGATGAAATGGCTGAGCACACGTGTTTTAACTATTGTTCAAAGCTTACGTATCCAAGACGCTCTCTCTCAGCACTGATTGTCATATAGCTGAATTTCTCCCGTGTTGAAAATTTCAGACCTACTGTAGTATTTTCCTGATGATATTAAGCGTGAGCATCACCTTCAGTTCGAAATTTCAGATGGATATTCCTGATGTATCACATAATTTATTTCTCTTGAGGTCCTTTTCATCCCGCCATATGAACAGGATGCGACATAAACCACCCTTGGTTAGGCTAGGAGTACCAATGATCCTTCAGGGAGGGCATGCATAGTCTTCTACGTTTGCATTTTCATCCAACATAAAGCGTTTAACGATTGCCTTTCAAAAACACCTAGAACGTCCATTTTATTTTTTCTTCTCTGTCAGCTTAAACGGTTGACTTTCTTTCTCGCTACGCTTAACATACTCATGATTGCCGAAGTAATGTCAAGCTCTCTCCTCTTATATTGTGGTCAAATGTACATGATTTATAAAAATCGTCATGGGCATTGGCACTAAATAAAATGTGTGTAAACGGTATGACCTTTGACGCGCTAAACACATTTATTTCCATATAACAGAATATTTTAAGACTACATAGTGGCTAGCTTTTGAATATAATGGATGGTATAGAGGAGAATGAGGTTCTTTTCTATCGCTATGCAAAAACTTACTGCTTTACTAGTGCTTCTGTCTTCAACAGGTGCCATATTGCCTGCTGCGGCCGTACCAGCAAATGCAAATACACACAGAATATCACTGGCTTCAAGTTACACTAGTAAGCTGGCCTGGAAATTATCAGGTTCAAGCCATCAAAGTCTTGATACAACATCCATTACGAGAGGAGGTCACTCGAAATTAGCCCAGGCACAAGTTAGCAAACCGACTCTAGAAGAAGCTTCTGTAAAGTCGAATCCTCTACCCGCAGGAATACCAGGATGTTATTCAAAAACGGTACCATTCACTCAGTATTGGATTTCAAAAGAAAATAGTTGGGATGAAACGAACAATGGAGAAAGAGTATGGTTAGGTATGGAACAGGAAGAAAGACTGGCCACTCTACAAAATGAAACTATCGCAACTGTTTCTAGCAATACTTTTGAAAAATGCACGATGGAAGGAACTGTAAGTCAATTATAGCTTTTTCCTTTTCTTTAAAAAATATATATCATTATATACTATGTCATATTGTAGCAGGCAAAATGCTATATAATTTTCAGCTCTAATCAATGTCTTCCTAAAGTGCTTACTCAACGATGGCCGACTGATCAACGTCGATATAAAGGATAGCTTCAAGGTCATAGGCGGACGTAACAGAAAAAAAAATCTCTTCGGCTACGGTAGTCGAAAACAAAACTTAGCACCATTTGTGAGCATTGCGGCAAACGATTTACCATATGGACAAACAATGTATCTATCGCAATTGGATGGCGTCAGAATGAGCAATGGGTTGATACACAATGGATGTGTCCGAGTTGATGATGACAGTTACAGCTTTGGATGTAAGTAAATATGAATATATCAAGGCGATATTTGAAAAAACTGGACGCTAACTGTGCTTTGTTCAGCATGTCAATTGGACTTCTTTGTTGTGTCTTATGTTGACTATCTTTTGGTAGAAAGCGGACCTATCAACCGTATCTCGTTCGAGAATTGTACTGTAAAGAACTACGCGACCGAGGATATGATGAAATGGGTAGGTGCCGATGTGAGCGCCTTATCTATAATTCCTAATGATCAAAGAGATGACTGGAAGGATTGGATGGTTCACGATGAAGAGCATCCTTTCACTACAGTTATCAATGCAACGAATGTCTCTTCATCATCAGCAACACCTTCTGTGAAACCCTCCACCACTATGACTATCAATGCCACCTCATCATCAGTAACACACCCTGTGACACATTCTACCACTTCTCAAGCAGGTTCCAAAACTACAAACAGCACTAGAAGTAAATAAGAATTTCAAAATAAATTATGGTTTATTAATTGAAGAGGGCAGCTTTTTTGGATACTATGTTTTTGAGAAGGCTATGAAGCGCGCTTGGAACCAAGCCTGTCGGAGCACTCAGGGCTTGAGGAGACAACTTTTACTCACAAAATTTCGACGACGTCACAGTACGCGTACTGCTAAATCGTAAGTCAGACAAAGGTACGAGACGAGTGTATCCTTGCCAAAGATCTTTCTTTTCAAGTAAATCAGCAAACAACCGATACAATGGCACGAAGATACGATTCACGCACAACAGTATTCTCACCAGAGGGTATGTAACTGTTTGGAAACCATTATGAAGCAGCGTAAACACCTGCATGTTCAGCAAAATTCACCTTGACCAATCTTTACCATTTTTGTGTACAGGTCGCCTCTACCAAGTTGAATATGCCATGGAATCTATCTCCCTCGCGGGAATAGCACTTGGAATTATGGCTAAGGACGGCATTGTCATCGCTGCCGAGAAAAAGGTGACCAGCAAGTTGTTGGAGCAATCTTCATCGTCGGAGAAGATTTACAAATTAAGCGAGTAAGTAAACGCAAGTCGCAATTGACGAAATATATTAGTAGTACCGTATGAAAGAGTTGAACCTAATGAAACATCTTTAGCAACATTATCTGTGGTGTTGCTGGTATGACTGCAGATGCAAATAGTTTGATATACAGATCGAGATTGGCAGCACAGCAATATCTATTTGCATATGGAGAGGAAATTCCTGTCGAGCAACTGGTTCAAAACTTGTGCGATTTTAAGCAAAGATTTACTCAACGAGGTGGTTTGCGTCCATTTGGTGTTTCATTCATCTTTGCCGGATTTGACGATCATCACGGTCTCCAGCTCTATCACTCTGACCCCTCTGGCAACTACGGTGGCTGGAAAGCAACATGCATAGGAGCCAACAACTCGAGCGCACAAAGTATATTGAAACAGGATTACAAGGAGGACATGACTTTGGAAGAAGCAAAGGCGCTTGCGATAAAGGTTTTGAGCAAAACCATAGATAGCACGACATTGACGAGTGAAAAGGGTAAGTGGATCGCTTTATACACGATGGTCGAGCGAGCGACTATGACAAGGTATTCATGTTTTTGTCTTTTTTCAGTGGAATTTGCTACCCTTAAAGTCGTGGACAACGCTGTCAAGTATAACCTGTATAAACCTGCCGAAATTGACTCATTGCTTAAGCAGTTAGATGTTGGTGCATCAACCGAAGAGCAATCTTAAGGCGCGTGTCTTTCAATTTTAAATAAAAAAGAATCACTATGGAATTTTGTCACTTGTATGGTCGGAGTGCCATAAAAGAGAGTGTGCGTTTTGCAAGTGGTATAATTCATAGCCATGCAATACATTAAAGGATTCTTTGGCTCATTCTTCAGTCTGGATACGTACGGTGATTTAGACTTGGGCCATGAGCATTTCCCAAACACCGTTGAAGGCTTTGGGTACCGTTTCAACGAGAATGGCCAACTCAGAAAGATCGACACTGGTAATTGTCAACTCAACCAGTGTGAAGCAAATCACCATACAGTCTGCTTTATGTGACTAACTCACTTATTTGTAGACGAGCCTTTCCAATATGATGTCAAGCCCGGGGACAAAGCTTATAATCAAGGGCACTATGAGGCGCTAGGGAAATGCATAGGACATTACATTGAAGACTTACTTGTGTCGAAATACGGACTGGAACGCACAATCGTTCCACTTAGAGTGGACGCGGACGATGCCAATACACCGAAGAGCCATATCTACTTGTCTAAAGGTGCTCTCACTACAACAGATACGCTGTTGGTATTAATACAAGGTTCTGGTGTTGTCAGACCAGGTCAATGGAGCCGAGCAGTCATCATGAATGAATCTCTGGAGGTAAATCTTTTACTATATGATATGCACACGGCATTATAATGAGAACTCAAACACTCGTACTATAAATCTGCTTAATAGCTTGGAACCATGTTTCCTTATATCGAACGAGCGCAACGAAATGGCTGGGAAATAATGATCCTAAATCCCAACCTCAATGAAATTTCTTTTGATGATGGTGATGGTATGGACTTCGGAGGCGAAGGAGGCTTATCGTTTGTAAGTAACAATATGAGAGCTCGATACTGGCATATTTTTATAAAATAGCAAAGTACCTAATCATTGAGTCGCAATTCGGCTAAATGGAAAAAGTCGAAAAAGTTGGGCAGCATGACGATCGAAGGTAAGGCTTATTGTGGCCAGTGCGCAAAAGAAAGAGCAATCGACTGACGATCTGCAGGTAGCGAAACTCCGGAGCACCACTGCCAGTACGTTTGGGATAACTTCATCAAGTATGTTCTTTATCGTCAATTGTCTCGATTCGGATGAATACTCAATTTCCAAAAATTGGTAGGATGAGTAAAGCGGAAAATATAGTGATAGTAGCTCACAGCTACGGCGGTCATACCATCACATTGCTTGCAACTCATAATGGTAAGCCAACGTCAATGAGAGGGGACCAAGATTTTTTTTTTTTTTTTTGAGGTGGCACATTTACACATTTTCACGTCATCTGTAGCGTTCGATTTCACTCATCGCGTGACGGCACTGGCGTTAACGGACAGTGTTCATAGCCGATCCAGTATCAAAGGACAGCCAGTCATCGAATGGTTCGATCGCAATGCCCGAGACTGGGTTGCTTCAAAAGAGTCGTTGGACAAGGACCTGCCGTATCACACAAAGGATGCGGGCTGTCCATGCGTTTCAGCAGGTCAGTTGCCACACTTGCCTAAAAATGGTACCTTTTCCGAAAGTTGAAGTTTTTAAAATACCCTCTCAACCTTTAGGTCATTCAAAGCATGCGTATACGTCGGGTACGGCTAAAGACTCTGTCATGAATTACCTCGAAAGTAAGATTAGAAAGACGGAGCGAGAATAGTCAATGCTTTATTCACTCGGGTTTATTTACTGTGGTGTATTATTGTGATAAGAAACAATTGAATCAAACGAAGGTTGGAGGGTGTTTTCATGTTATTTTTTCTCTCTCCAGGATGTAATAAACATAAAAAGTATTCAAATATAGGCGATAATAAGTTGGGTACGGCCATTCAGTAAATGTACCATGCTGCTAATCCGCAGAGTGCGCTTGTGATAACGGAGCACACAAAGTTGACCTTATGAACGGGGATAAAATCTCAGTTAAAATGAACCACAAAGATATGAAATAGATCATTGAGGACACTGACCTGATGGTTGTCTAAGATATCTATACCACTGATGACGGTGACATTCTCATCCGATGCGTTTCCGACTATTTTGCCTTCTTTTTTGGAATACAGAGTACGTTGGACAGTAGCTCCAAGTAAGGAGTCGATCTAAAAACAAAGTATTACATATACGTAAATTAGAGTTGAAGACTGTGCGGCTAAGCCGTGCTCCATATTGTGACACCCACCAATGATCCAACCAATCCAGCTGCAGCTCCAACCAGCATTATTTCATACGCGAAACCATGACAACGTTGCTCAAAAGCTAATGTAATCGCAGCAGCCAATCCCATAGTGGCACCTCCAGCGAATGAAGCCAATAGTCCCAACTGAGAAATTCCTCCATTGGTGCCCGGGGGTACGCGTTTAAATGTGGTAATAAGGACAGGCCATGTCTTGTTCAAAATACCGATTTCGCTAGCCCACTTGATTATATCGGAATGCAATTTAATGTTTAGTGTCACTTGGTCAACCGCGCGTTCAATGTGAAACCCATGCGGCATGGTAAATGCATACATACCGTATCACCAGCACAACAAGCGTAATGACCAATATACGTCCAGATGAGAACAGTACTCCATTTATCATCATCGAAGCAGGTCAAGGTATTCTGGGATTCGAAAGTCATTTGATACATGGTTACGACAATACCAGCGACGAGGCCGTTGCAAATGACCTGAATTATTGTTCGTTCACTCGACTTCTCGTAATCTTCTTCCAACAACCTTTTGCGATCGGCTTTAATCTAAATAGAAATGGAATGTAAGAGCATTGTATGGGTAGGGTGGCAAATCTGCATGGAAACAGGAAAATTTAAATTTGCCTTTGTGAGTCTTGAGCTTGACAGGAAAAATACCAGCAGGACGACGGTAAATAGCCAGTAATTCGACGAAAATGTGACCATACCGAGCGCGAAGGCACCAGCGGCACCATCCTTCGATAGAGACTTTTTACGTAAAGCATAAACCGCCAATAGCGTTGACAGCGCAACTGCGAATGTGTAATGAGGCATTGTCAATGACAACCGAGATTCAATTGTGGAGAGAGAAAAGAGTTAAGGGAGAAGAAGAAACACTGGTGCTCAATGTGAATAAATTCGCGGGAACAAGTTTGCAGTTAAGGTGGATCCTCTCCAAATCGAGTGCCTCAAGCCTTTAATGACAATGGCTGATGAATTTTCCAGTTACCGCAATCAAATCCCAATTTACGAGTTTTTTTTATTTAGCAGTCTACCATGAGCTACCAACTTGCTTAAGCTCTATTGGCAACTCATCGGGGTCTGCAAAGAATACAAAGCGTTCTCCAGTAATTTCATCTACTCGAACGTCTTCAAATACGATTAGGTTTCGATCGTCGCGCGCCTTGATCTCTTGCATCGCCTTGTCAAGGTCCTCAACTGCTAAGCATAGATGCCGAAGTCCAGCAGCCTCGGGTCGGCTTGGTCTAGATGGGGGGTTGGGAAACGAAAAGAGCTCTATCTGTGATGGTGTTCCCTCTTCTGCTACTTGAATATCCAATTTATAACTTTGACGTTGTTCTCGGTACGTTTCACAGATGATCTTCATCCCAAGAGTGTTTATGTAGAAATGTTTGGAGACCTATTACCCTTAGAAGTTAGACGCAAAGAAAGGTATCCAGAATGAGTTCTACAAGTATTTCAGACGCTTACCTCATAGTCCTTTGCAATAATAGCAACGTGATGTATACCTTTGAACATTTTATTGTAGGTAATAATGATATGTGAGCAGGTCAAGGCAGTCCATAGAAGGACTCGGCAAACAGCGCAAACTACAAAAAAGAGATCGACGTCACCCTAATTTTTCCATTTTATACACCGCCCAGTTTCTGACGATCAATCCACAAGCATGCTTCAACTTGCTCCACCACTTTTTTTAAATATGGCTCTCGCAATAGCAGTCAAGTCTAATCCTTCTCTCTTGACAAGTTGTAAATTGGTAGAAATGAGATTCCTTAAATGCATTGACCTCAGTATTAAAAATCATTGATTATAAAACATGTCGATGACAAAGTCAGCTCAGACTTAACAGTTAACAAACTGCCTTTTATTTTGCGCGACAACCCGTCAATTTTGATGCCCTCGATGTTGTGTTTCGAGGAATCACGTAGTCGTCGTTCTATCTCCATCTATTTCATTCATTTCAAGAGGACACTTAGGAACAAAGTCACATGCTATAACGGAAGATTGCGACCAACGCAATACTGTAGACAAACATTCACAACATGACCTAGTCCTCCTTCTTAGTTATATTCTTTTTGGGTCTTTTAAGATGCATCAAAGTCGATATTTTCTAATGGTTCAACGTCAATGTTACATTATGCTATCATATGAACCTGAAACACAATCAATTGCGAAAAAGGATGGCGCCATTAATTGCAACAATTTAAGCGTGGGACAATTGAGCGGATTTTCACTTCGTATACGCTTGTTCCTGTACCCACCATGACTATCACTGGGGATTCAGATCCGAAACTTATCGTCGTAGCTGCCATACTAGGGCCAAATAGAGGAATCGGCTTGAACAATGATCTGCCCTGGCCAAGCATTCCTGCGGATCTCGCCTGGTTACAACGCATAACAACAAAACTTCCCTCAGATGCTCAGCCCTCTCACAAAATGAATGCTGTGCTTCTTGGTAGAGTTACATGGCAGTCAGTACCTGTGAAGGAAATGCATTTACCACAGCGACACAATGTTGTAATATCAAGACAAAAAACGTTTCCTGTGTAAGTTATCTGGTGCCAATGCGTAGAAGACTATGATATATCGCTAATAGCAGAAACGTGTAGTCACAATAATGATGGATCGTCCTGCATATCGCTGGCCACTTCGTTTAAAGAAGCATTGTCTGTAGTTGAACGAAACCATCCTCGTGTATTTGTATTGGGAGGATCAATGATTTATCACGAAGGTTGGTGGCAATTTGATTTGTAACTGCTAACTAACAGCTAGACCATGCTAACTTTTATATACATGTAACAGCCATCACGATGGAAAAGTGCACACATTTGCTTTTGACAGTCATCCATGCTGAAATCCAATGCGACTCCTTTTTCCCTGAAATTGATGAAGCCGTCTTCAGAAGAGCAGAACATCATGAACTCGAGGCATTTGCAGAAGAAGAAGTGCCAATGGGACGACAGGAGTGGCAAGGCTTAGAGTACGAGTTTGTGATGTATGTACGCCGATAGCGTACCGTTCTATTTCGGTTTTGAATTTCTTTTATACTACATATGTAATTTGGCTATTTTTAAACATACTAATGTACAAAGACTATGCAGAAATCTTTACTCATCATCGTCTTCATCATCGTCTTCATCTTTTTCGAAGACTGCCTTGGGTTGTGTTTTTTGATATGCTGTAAGATTGACGAAGGAGTTAGAAATGAAGTATAAATCCAGTTAGACTTATGATTGCTTACCTTTGCCAACCCAAACTGGATCGTCTTCTGAGACAGCAGCATATTTCAGGAGGGCCTCTCTTGGATCTTCATCTAGAATGAAAGCCGTTAGTTTCATTTCAGCCGGCCGCGTTAAGTTTTATGACACTTACCTCTAGTGGTATCTCTCGACAAGCTCTTAATAACATGCTGTTGCGTGTTGGTACCAACACGTCCACCTCTTCCAGGGCCAGACATTGGCATCTCTATAGGATGGAAGGTTAAATGATCCATTGTCAGCAACTTTGTCATATATATTCCTTGACTTGTGCAAGAATCGATACTGTACCTGGTCGTCTGGATGCCTTGGGATCGTTTCTGAGCTTTTCTCTCTTGCGCTTGGTGCTTCTCGCTCTCTCCTCCTTGAACATGGGAAGAGCATGTGGGGTAATAATAGGACGATCAATTTCGTAATCATCCACAGCTCGCTTCTTGGGTTCACGAACAACAGATAGCTTGGCACCTCTAACGGAAGCCGTCGGGCTGTAGTAGACACCAATGTTTCCGTCTGCGCTTCCCGTGATAATCTGATTGATTTTTGCATGCCAGAGAACGCGAACAACACTGGATTGCGTGATGCCTAAAGAAATGGTCATCAGTATACCTCGAGTTCACTTAATATGGTCATGATTATAATACTTACTCATAGTGCGACGAATCTCAAGGGTATCGCGGTCCATCATGACAAGCTTACCATAGCCCTCTCCTTTCTTGACCGCAGTACCTGTTAAAGTATTAGTTTTCGCTCCAGAGTTATATAAATAGCAGTGGGTGCAATGCTACTCACCGGTCAGAATCAATCTCTCATCTGGACTGAAGATTACATTGGTTTCCGGGTTGATAGTGGCCAAATCATTGGCAACAGAAACTGGTTTCTTAAAATTGCGAAGATCCCACACTGGATATTGACGTATGTTAGAAATGCCATTAAAGTCGCAGAACACATATTGACAGTAATTACCTTTTACAGTATCATCGCCACCTCTAGTCACGAACGTCTGGTTGTCCATTGAGAATACTACCGATGAGGTTTCCGTACCATTGACATGTGCATTTTCAAGTGAGTGCACTGCCCTTGTGAATGGGCCATTGGAAGCCCAAACGTTTAAGGTTCCATCTTGGCAGGCTCCTGCTATCATTTTTCCATCCTTACTATATGCTGTTGCCGTGACGATCGTTCTTCCGCCTCTTTCCTTGCTTTTATACATGATAACATCCTTTTGCTTTCTCTTGTTCTCGACATCCCAAATTCGGATCGTACTATCTTGAGATGCTGTGATGAAGGTGTTCTTTTCGTGAGGGTGCCATGCTCCACTTGTTAAACTTGAAATATGACCATCGGTTTTGCGAAGATCTCTTATGTATGGATCACCCTTTGCGTATTCCGTTATTTCATACCCATCACGGTCGAACAATTTTGCTCTAGCAGATCCAGAGATAATCAGGAAGGAGTCTCCGGTATTGGAATAATGCAGATCGTGAATTTTGTGTCCACCGACTGGTTCAATAGTTCGGAAGGGCTTGTAGGATGCATCCATTCCAGCAAAATCCCAGAACTTCACATCATAGTCGTACGCTCCACTAATCAATCGAGATCCAGAAGGTTCGAGCGCAAGAGCAGAAACAGTTCTATGGTGATCCTTTAGCTGGATTTCGTGGGATATAGGCAGCTCTTGATCCTGGGCTAAATCACCGTCCATACTGTCATCATCACTATCATCATCGCTGTCATCATCATCGTCGATATTGTCATTTGCCTTCAGGTGATCGTTCTCCACTTTTACCGCATCATTGTCGTTGCCTCGTTGTCGTTTTTGTGGCACTATCTCGGAGTCGACGTCCTGTGGTATTTCAATTACGCCTGTCAGTACACAGTGGTCGTTACATACAGTATCATATATATACATACCTCACGCTTTGTTTTCTCAAAAAAAGAAGACACATTTTTCTTCTTCTCTTGCTTTCCAAAGGAAGTGGGCATAAAGCTTCGCAAGGCATCCCAATCCGTGTCGTCCTCACCGGTTTTGGCAGGTGCTGCTGTGGCAGATTTCGTCTTCTTGCCGAACGATGTCGGAAGCATGCTGGATAGATCGTCGTTCTAATATAGCAGCGTGTTAGAGACAATGGGAATGTCGGTTCGTACAAGAACGCGCGTTAACTTACCCAAGACATAGCTGTTGATCACAAAGTTCAAGGCTTGTCGTGTCTGGCGATCTCGCAAAGTCATTTCAGTGTGACTGTGAAATTTTGAATACCTCCATGCAAACGGACACTGTTGTTGCAATGTACAAAGAGTTAGACGGATATACACGTTTGAGAGTGAATGCGAGTGGTGTTTATGTAAAGTAAAAGGGAGGCAGTGCTTGTGAGTGATGCAACTTTTAAACAACAAATACAACGTAAAGAAAAAGCAAAAAAAAAAGAATGAAAGAAGCAAATATCGCAAGGTCTATTCTGATGTGGTTATCATTTCAGTATCTTCGTCATCATTGGATGGCTCTCCCAAAACGGTTCGTTGCTCTGAAGATTTTCCATCCTTGTACTTTTGATACTCTTGTTCAAATAATTCTCTGTTTCGAACTTCTTGTTGTGCTTTGGCATAAATTGCTGTGGCTTTCGAGAACAGCTTTTGTGAATTAAGATATGCAATATATGCCAAGTATGTTTCTAGAAAGAACGTGGTCTGTCAGTATCAAACTATACAAAACATAGCCTGTCATATGCTTTGTATAACTCACCTTCTTTGTTAACATTCAGTCTCAATGCCATTTCGTACAAATATTGTGATTGACTCACAGCGGTTTGACCTTTGCCGTATTCAGCTTCTACTTGCAAGCAAGCCTTGTAAAATGCAAGAGTTGGGAAACTGCCATTGATCAATCGCTTATAAGTCTCTCTTGCTTTCTTGATACCAGACATGCGAGCGGCCAACACGACGTGTGATCCTAGTACGTAATCCTTGATAGTATTGCGATCAGATGTGGATTCCACCAATGATGGCAATAAGGCAGTTGCTTTACGGCAGGCATTCTATGAGAATAAAACAGTCAGCATCATGTCAACGCTATACAATGAATTCTTCTTTTACAGGTTTACTTACGGTTAACAATTCATCAACAATATCGCTTTGCAAGACATCATCTTGCCATTTCTTTTCTATCCATTCAACGTATGCTGACCACAGTCTGAATGAGGCTCCATTCTTGCTGAGAGCTGTCTGGAATAGCTGGTCTTCAGCCATGACGGATTCACTTTGTGTCTGAGTCTTGTCAACCAGCTCAATTCTCAACAACCAAAGGTCCACGCTTTCAGGGAACGCTTCGCACGCCCTCTCGTTAATTTCCAAGACTAGAATAGACACCAGGTTAACTCTATTAACGCAGAATACCAATGTGGACCAACAAGCTACTTACCATTCGTTGTACCATCTTGTGAACTCAATACATTTATCCATAAAATATACAACTTTGCTGATTTCAATTGTTTCTTCTCTGCAGTATTCAAAGTCTTCAGCAAAAGTTTGGTGAAATACTTTTTCTATAGGCAAAATATTAGAAAGGAACAACGTCAAGAAATATCAACAAAATACGCTAATCCTTACCAAGTTGGGTTCTGTCACTGTCTCTCGCCACTCGGACAAAAATCCTGCATACAACTCCCACATCAAAATCGTTGGTATATCTTTGACACAGCTATCAAATTCTTGAATACATTGTCGTATTGCTTGTACAAATTTAGGGTCATTAATCTTGAGTGCTGCTTGGCCACCTTCTGCAGACTTGACATATAAAGGTCGTGACGCAAGATATGCTCTAGCTTCTTCATTTTCAGGAAAGTCGCGGCGAATGGTGTCATACACGTGCTGGAGACCAACTTCGGGATCTGAAAAGTCATTGTAAATCTCTGCAAATTTGGCTCGAAAGTCCAGGTCATCAGGTATAGCTATAAGGAAATAAACCGTTTAGTAAATCTTGTTGGCATGAGGTAGCTGAAGATGTATCACTATTCTCGTACCTTGGATAGCATTATCGTAAACAATGGTTGAAAGAAGGCCATTAAGAATAGGATTGATTCCCTCCCGCATCTTCTCAGCAACGGATTCTTCCATTTGTTTGACCGCTCTTACTTCTTGGCCATCTTCATCCATATCACCGAATTCGCCACCTGTGATCGTTGGCAACTTTATCATCTCCGTATCATTGTCGCCATTTTCAGTATCTTCCAACTCTTTTAATCCATGTGACTTCTGATCAATACCAAGAATCTTTCGTCGTGCTTTGATCTTTTCGATATAGAGTTGTTCCAATCGGAAGTATTCATGCCAAAGCTGAGCTTGACCAGGATTCAATCGAAGACCGCGTTGCATCAAGACTGTGGAAGCAAATGTTAATTTCAATTGTGACACACACCTACATAACAACTGAAAACTATAATCACCTCTAGCTGCGACAATATTGGCGTTCTCTTCGAATTCCCATGATGCAGCCATGATCCATAAGGCAGGTTTTGTGGGATGCAATTGGATGGCACTAAAAAGGGAGATTGCCACTGATCAGCCTCAAAATTTCTAGTCAATCCTAATCACAGAGCATGATGGTGTACTTACTCGGCAAATATCTTTCCCAATGTCTTGTTTGCACCGTTTGCCTTGGCGAATTCAATGTACTGCAGCCACAATGAAATGTCTCCGTTGAATTTTCGTAAGGCTCGCTCAAATATGAAAAAGATTCGTCTGGTTCCGGCATAATCTGAGAGAGACTGCTTCGCAGTCTTGGATTCTAGTTTTTCAATTAGTATCTGGAAGGACAAAACCTTCAACCAACTATAAGCGTCCTTACCTAAACGTGACTTGCGCTTCTTGCGAAGAGCTTCCAAGTTCATTTCATATTCAATGTATCGAAGATAATCAACCTTTTTGCTTATACGTCTTTTCAATGCATATTCAAAGTTAGTTCTCTTCTTAACGATTGCCTTGATTTCAGTCTGAAAAATATTAGACATTAGCATTGTGTACAATAGGTTTGAAAAGTCCTCGCCCACCAGTAAAAGAGCAACTCATACCTTGGAGAACAAGTTCTTGTTTTCCAAGTCCTCCAGCTCGGGGACCATCTGCTCGAGGTAGAATTGTACTGTGTCCGCCATTTTGATTCAGTGGTTCTGATCGTACAGCTGGATCCAAGAAGGTTATTTCGACAATAATATCGAAAAAGCGGGAAATTTGTTCCTGCTCTTTTGGCTACAAAGCCACAAGCGAGTCACATTCTCAAAATTTGATACTTCTTCAAAATTTGAAGTTCCGTGGGCCGTTTGAAACCGAGGCCCATTAGGGAAGAATTGGAACAAAACGTAACAAGTTTCATTAAAGCTTGAAACGAAAGAATTATTCTTTATTATTTTAGCGATGAAAGAAGTCAATGATAAAATTATTTCTTCTCAGCAAAGTATCGGCGCTCAACGGCATTGCAATTTGATAACTAAATCAAATGCCAAAGTATGCCAAAGTATTCAATAGCTTACTGAGCGAGCACAGTGGATTTTCTAACGTGTTTCAGCAAGTTTTTATTTCTTTAATTAATAATGTAGCGTTTTATTTGTTTAGCTGACGTGGTGCATTATGATGAGAAGCTCTTGTGTAGTTTGTTAAAAAAAAGTCTTGTCAATGGCAGCTGCTAAATGAGACATGGACGTATTGCATATTTGAGTATTTGAACCATGGTTGAATGTTCTGAATATCCCGATACTACTTACGAAATCACAATGGGGTTGGTTGACCCTCTCGTTCAACGATTCGCAAGTGCCTGGAAGCTAGCAGTCACAGCGATTGCGCCATCTTGGGATTTGTCAAAGACCATTCATCTCCGCCATTTGTCAACCTCCACAAATACCCCCTCTGCTTTCTCTTTTACTTTTGTTCAACCGAGAAATGTCCATTGCAAGACTTGCTTCTCGCATGGCGTATAGCGCCCTTCGAGCTGAGAAAAGACCACTTGCCGTAGCTGGATCTAAATGTAAGTTGATACTTATCGCATGTCGAATCTTGTGTGGTTATGCAATACTCACCAAACGGTCGCTACCCTGCTACTGCATTCCCAACAACAGCTTTCCACACATGGACTAGTTTGAGACAGAGCTCTGCTTCACCATCAACCTCAGGGGACAATTCTAGTGTATTCACTTCCAGCAACCCCCCTATGGCGTTTCCTTGTATTGACAAGCTAGAGTCTCGAACCATGTCATTAGACGGAGGGCCAGAACCAAGCTACGACAAGGTCGTAACCGGTTACGAAACTTTTAATTATTCTTCACCTTTCCTACTTGACCATGGTGGTATTCTTCCCAACTTTGACATTGCTTACGAGACATGGGGAAAATTGAACGAAAAGCGAGATAATGCCATCTTAATCCATACTGGATTGTCTGGCTCATCACACGCCAAATCACATATCAAGAATACAAAACCAGGGTGGTGGGAGAACTTTATTGGGCCCGGAGCATATATCGACACCAACAAATTCTTTGTAATTTGTACAAATGTTATTGGAGGTTGTTACGGATCAACTGGCCCAAGTTCGATCGACTCGGCTGATGGAGAGCGATATGCCACTCGCTTCCCTATCTTGACAGTCTGGGACATGGTTAGAGCGCAATTCCGCCTGCTTGATTCCCTTGGCATTGAAAAATTGCATGCAAGCGTTGGAGCCAGTATGGGTGGTATGCAGGTACGGTAACGCTGTGAGAACAGAAATTTACGGTTCGATTTCAATTCCCGATGAGATGGGCCCAACTGATGGAAATGACTTCTTTTTCTTTGTCCCATCTGGGATTTTTTAGTCTTTGGCTGCTGCTGCTTTATACCCTGATCGTGTCAATAGATTAATCAGCATATCGGCATGTGCTCGGTCTCATCCATACTCAATTGCTTTGCGACACACTCAACGTCAAGGTAAGAATGACATGATTGTAGTACGACTTATCGATGGCGGTGATTCTCATCACGTTCTCGCACTTTTCAGTTCTCATGGCAGATCCGAACTGGAACAAAGGATTCTATTACAAAGGTGTTCCACCACATATAGGAATGAAGGTAGGAACTAGAAGATAATAGCGATCTTTACATTGTAAGAGGTATTAACGGCATATATTCATACAGCTCGCTAGAGAAATCGCCACCATTAGTTATCGATCTGGACCAGAATGGGAATTGCGTTTTGGACGAAAGAGAGCTCAAGAGAATCAGTCGCCAGCGCTTTGCCCTGATTTCCTGATTGAAACCTACTTGGACCATCAAGGCGAACGCTTCTGTTTGCAGTATGATGCTAATTCCTTACTATATGTTTCAAAAGCAATGGACATGTTCGATATGTCCAACAGCGCCGTTACAAAACTGAGGACGCAGCGCACCAAGAACGAACCCGTTCTTAGACGATTGACTGAACGTCAAAATAGCCTCGATGACCATAATGAATATAAGACCTTTGCTGAAGCATGCCGGTACGAAACTGGAAACAAGTCTGCTCTGGAGCAGCATGAAGAGACCACCCCCGAAGCATCTAAGACTGACGGCAAGAAGGTTCTGTCTACCTTGGCAACTTCCGATCCTGTTACTCAAGACCTTATTGAAGGAATGACCCGCATCAAGATGCCAGCACTGGTGCTCGGCGTTCAATCAGATATTTTGTTTCCCGTATGGCAACAGAAGGAGATAGCAGAATGTCTGCGAGCTGCTGGTAACAAGAATGTCACGTATTACGAGCTTGACTCAATGTATGGCCATGATACATTCTTGATTGACGGTGTCAGCGTTGGTGGTGCCGTGAAAGGTCACTTGGAGTTGCTGGATACGAGTAAATAGATGTCGAATATAGCTGTATTACCATAAAATCATGTCCTCATACCACTTCTCATCTCGTGCTATTTTTACATGAGCGCATTTTCATCGAATGTTTAAGAACCAAATTTCGAAGCTTGTCGGAGCAGGGAAAGAGAATTCTCATCATACGGAATTAACAAAGAAATATTTCACTAACCCTTTAATGTGTTTTTTTTGGCGGATCCAGTGGCAGATCCAGAAAAACATTAAGATCTCTAATATCGCTCGCGAGTTCCATAACGAGTTGTCGCCGAACTTGTCCACCACAACCAAATTCGAACGAACCATAACAAATTTCCTATTTGGGAATGTTGTAGGCGGTTTGGTCAATGGTAACCATTTCAACTCAGTCAAGTGGCGAGGATCACGGCATGATATTATAAGTCATAGCGATATGAAAAAGGAAAGAGTAAGGGTAGATAATACGGCAGCGTAGAAGTCGATTTATTTTAGAGGCTGTGTTTATATAAGAGGGCCGCAACATGTCAAAGGGACGGGCTTTTGATTCAAAATAATAATACGGCAAATGGCAAGCGTTACAGTGACGACTAATAGGCCAGATCCTCAAAATACCAGGAAGGTAATGTCAAAACAATAACAACCGTCCATACATGGAATCAGAGCAAACCGAAGAACAGGCTCATAATATGCTCGAGCAACGTTTTCATCTCGCTTTCTCCTTAGTCTTCTTGTTCGTCTTCTTAGCCAGATCGTTTGCGCATCTATTTCCATCCTCTACAGCGCCTCCAGGCTTAACGACTCTATTTACCTCTAGTTTCGCCAATATACCAGCGAAAGAAAAGAACAAACTCACCAACCATTTATAATATCAGTTTAAAAACATAACATGGTTTCCGCCACTTTCAACATCAAACTCTTCTTAGTGACTCTCTGCTTGGTTCTTGCCCTATACCCACAGCAAGGCAATGCAAAGGCGATTGCCCAAAAGCGACAGGCTGTAGCTACCATCCAAAATAACTGGGTGACAGTTTGCGCACCGGGTACTGGAGATAAACCTAACCAGAAGCGTGATGACAGCGTTGCAACGCTTAACATCCAAAACAGCAAACCCACGAGAACCATTGACTGTGCATCTTCTACTGCAACCGCTACTGTTACAGCAACTGCTGCTCCTGATAACAACCCTCCTAGCAACAACAAACCATCAGCTTGTAACGCTCAATGCTGGAGCAATTATCTCTGGCGTAAGTATTTGAATAAACATGATTTGTGAATCCTGTTCTCATTGGCTAACCAACCCGTTAATTTCACCAGATACCTATGGCTGGGGAATTACTCCTCAACTCGGTCTAGTTGGCATTGTTTGTATACTCACCGGCCTCTATTTCATGGCGTTTGGCTTCCGCTGTTTCCGGGCTACCCTGGCGCTGGTTGGTTTTGTCATCTTTGGTAAGTTGTGCTATGAATATCATCCACCCAGTACGCAAGCTAATGAATTTTGTATGTATAGCCTGCATGACCTGGATTGGACTGACTAACAACGAGCCCTATCCCGGTTATCCTAATCAAGCTATCGTATACATTTGTGTATGTGTTGGCCTGGGTATCCTGGGTGCTATTATATTTATGTTCTTCTACTGTATCACGCTGTACTTTGTTGGCGGTAAGTCATCATACAACCCTATATCTTGGTGCGTATTTGTAACAACCTGTTTGCTAACGTCAACTGCATTTACAGCCCTTGGAGGTTTCTACCTTGCCATTTTCATTTTGTCCTGGAAGGATAATTTGGTCATCACCAACGTGAGTGTCCCTTTTTTAGCCACAAAAATAACAAATGCACGTAAAAAGTTCAATGTTTTGACTTTATTTTTTTTTTGTATCAGAATGTTGCTCGTATTTGCTTCATAATAGGGGTGGCCATCATCGCTGGTGTATCGGTATTCTTACTAGAGAGATATATTATTATTTTTGCCACCTCTTTCATTGGTGCCTATCTCTTCGTCTTTGGTCTCGATCTCTTCGTGCACACCGGCTTCATTAACGGCTTCCGCATCATTTTGGACCACAATTGGTGGCATGACGTGGAATACATGATAGATGTACACGTATACCTCATGTTGGGTGCTGTCATACTGCTGACCCTTATTTCTTGCGGTTGGCAATACTACTGGAACGTCATGAGACTACATCGCTTCTTTGGTATCAACGTCGTAGAGGCCGCTCCTACAAAGGCCTAAGCGTATACCAAGATTTAATTTTTTTTCTTCACCATACTTTCATGTACCGTTTTCTATTCTTCGACTCGTTTCAAAATCTACATCATAGCGAGAAATAAATGTATTGATATACCAGCAGTTATGCAGATTCTTCATGAATTTTTCCATGCCTCTGTAATATTGAGTTTGCCCACTGTGACAGGAATGGAAGACGAAAATAATCACCACGTTTATATGCAGTCTTAATTCAAGTCATCATCATGCTACAAAGGAGTGAAAATAGATTCTTAAATACGAGCGACAGTGGATTTTTCATTGGTAATAGTGAATTTATTGGTTTTTTGCAGTACAGAAGACATCTAGATTTTTTTAGTTTGTTTCCTCTGGGCGCATCATAGGGAACAAAAGAACCTCCTTAATGTTGTTGGAGTCTGTCAAGAACATGACAAGACGATCAATACCCATACCCCAACCACCGGTGGGAGGAAGACCATACTCAAGAGCTTGACAGAAGTTCTCGTCGATAGCTTGAGCTTCATCATCACCAGCATCCTTATCCTTGGCTTGCTGTGTGAAACGCTCACGCTGGTCGAAGGGATCGTTCAACTCAGTGTAGGCATTGCAAATTTCCTTGGTGGCGACAAAGCATTCGAAACGTTCGCAAAGACCGGGAATATCACGGTGCTTCTTGGCCAATGGTGACATGACCATAGGGTGACCAGTGATGAAAGTAGGGCTAATGCAGTCGACTTCAATGAAATCACCAACGAGCTAATGAAAAATCAATGATGCGCATTAATAACCAAAGCCAATTCTACCATGCAATTCTTTTGTTTTTCGGATTTCAACCAAGTCAAATAACATACCTTGTCAAGAAGGCGAGCAGAAGTGCGAGGAGCACTGCAGTCAACATTGTGCTTGATGCAGAGATCAGACAAGAACTTGTTGGTCTCTTCAGTTTCGAGAGTATCAGCAGATGGGAACTTGACATTGAGCTTCTCTTCGAGGGTGGTAATCATATCGACACGCTTGAAAGGAGCGGTGAAATCGATCTCCATCTCAGGACCATCTGGACCTTCGGGATGGTACTTCACCTTGGTATCACCAGTCAAAGCCTTGACCATGCCAGACAAAAGAGTTTCGGTGATCTCCATCAAGTCGTACATATCAGCATATGCTTGGTAGAATTCGCAAGAGGTGAATTCAGGGTTGTGGGTCATATCGATACCTTCGTTACGGAATTGTCGTCCGATTTCGTATACACGATCCAAACCACCAACAGTCAACATCTTGAGGTACAATTCAGGAGCAATACGCATGAACATATCGAGCTTGAGATCGTTGTGATGGGTGATGAAAGGTCTAGCAGTGGCACCACCAGCGATTTGGTTCATCATGGGGGTTTCAACTTCGAGGAAATTACGTTCGTCCAAGAATCTGCGGAGATAAGTGATGATCTTGGAACGCATAATGAACTTTTCGCGGACATTGCCGTTCATGATCAAATCAAGGTAACGTTGGCGGTAACGAAGCTCTTGATCCTTGAAACCGTAGTTGGCCTTGGGCAACATACGCAAGCATGGGGAAAGCAAAATGATATCCTTGGGGAGGATAGAAAGTTCACCACGCTTAGATCTGGCAGGGATACCCTTAATACCGACAATATCACCACGACGCAACAAGTCATGAGCGCCAGCGAAATCACGCTCAGCGTCGGTTGCTGAGGCCATCACCTGGAGCTTGACACCCTCACCATGCAAATCGTAAAATCGAAGCTTGGAGCTGGCAGATCTCATGTTGTGAATACGGCCAGCAACATAAACAACCTTGTCATCCAAGCTCTCTTCATCCTTGAGGTGGGAGAACTTGGCAATGAATTCGGGCAAGGTGGTATCAACTTGGAACTTGTGTGGGTAAGGGTTGGGCTCTTGGGTTGTTCGAAGCTTGTTGATGTTCTTGGATCTGATCTCAAAGTATTGCTATAATAACCTGCATTGTTAAACACAACACTTTGATTTAAATCACTTGTGCTAGTTTACGTGAACGTACGTTGGGGTTAAGGTCTTCTTCGCCTTCCTCAGCGCTCTTCTTAGCAACAGGAGCGGCAGGCTTGGCTGCGGCCTTAGCAGCCTTAGCAGCTTCCTTCTCACGTTGCTTCTGGCGTCTCTTCATCTCACTAGCGGAATGAAGCATCAGTTAGAATGAGTTGACAAGGCGTTTGACAGTTTGTTAAAACAGTCAATTTGAAGATACGAGTGACAATAACATACGACTTGGAGATCATCTCTCCAGTGACTGGATCCTTTTGGAGATTTTGTTCGCTGGTAGCAGCGGCAGCAGCAGCTTCTTGTCCTGACATTCTTTTCAGAGAAATCAAACTACAGTAACTGATAAAAATCGAGTATTTATTTTTTTTTATTATTCGTTCCAGAAAAAAAATTTCAAAGCCAGTCAGTAATGAACCTTCGACACAGTGAGTCACACTCAACTTTGTTTTCAAGAGCTTGTTCGTCGACTGCGGCGGTCAGCTTCATCCACCAAGTCCCATATGGTCTCCTCGGCCATATACTCATCCCAACGGTCGCTCATAGGTCGCCAGTCAGAACCTGTTCGAGGTGGATACTGAAAATTGGGACCAAAGTTGCAAGATACCACTCCGCCGCCATAAACACTGACAGCTGGATAATATCCTAAAGTACCATCGTCTTTAATTGGAGGCTCTTCGGTCCATTGCTGTCTTCTCGCAGCATCTTCCTCCTCTGCCGCGTTCCCCATCACCGATGTGGAACCAGCGTCATGATGGGCTTTTCTTTTCTTACTGCGCCGGTTTCCTTTGATGGATTCAGCCAGGCGACCAAAGTCTTCATAATCAAATAGGTTATCGTACATTATGCCTTGAGATTTGCCATTTTTGAATATTTCGATTTGTGAGTTTTCAAGCGTTTGAGGATTCCAGCCTTCCAAAACGCCCAAGTTTTTTGATGTCTTTTGCTGATACGAGTTGGCTAAAGCTTCATATTCCTTGCTTTGCCTGTAATCCTTTTCTTCAAACCAGAGAGCATCCTTATATGCAATAGGGATTCGTCGTCGAGTTGGGCTTTTAAAGTTGGAAGTATCACGTTCAGGAAGTCGTATCAATAGTCCAATAACATCTCCTACTTCGAATCCTTCGCCGTAGTGTTCTCGCCTTGAGCAAAACAGCTTCTCCCCTGTAACATCACGATAGCCATAGCTGTAAGCATCGAATCCCACCGGAGCATCTAAACTTGCTGTAATAAACATCAATATTCAGTCGCATGGTGCTTGGTGGACAGATGAACTGAAATATATACCTTCTCGCCTTGCCCAACCCAATCGAACATGTGGACCATCGCTGGACATTCCTTGACCTGGTTGCATAGTTGCTTCCCAGTACCACGTTCCTTGTCGAACACCTACATTAGCTCTACACATGCGCCAGCCTCGATCTGTTGTAAGCACCAAGCCGTCTCTGCTGATTGAAGCGTATGGACTGCGATCTGTAGTACTAAGTGTACACCGGCTAGCGTCATCTTGGCTGTATGCTAACAGCTTCAGAATTGGCGATGCTCGGCAAGGCGTATATTTGAAGCCATATCGATTGTATGGGTGGTCGGCGGCTTGTGTTGATGTCTGCTGAAATGTTGTTACTACGGATGGGGTTGGAGAGGCCGTTGGTGAAGGTGATGACACTGGTGTGCTGACTGCTGGTGCTTCCATCTTTTGTGACCTTTCTTTCATCATTGGCTTTTGAACAATAGGAATTGCTTTAGCACTGGACTGTAGAGCAGACCAGTTAGTTAACGTTGTAGAAAAAGTGATCACAACAACGACAGAAGTCATAAATGGCATACTTGAACAATGTTCGGCCGGACATTCCACAAATTGGCATCCACCAGACAGAAGTCAGAGGCGGCGGTTCGGTGATGTTCATCGCGAGTTATAAACATATCTTTGGCTGTGTACAACGTAGATCCTAATGTTGCCCACCATGTAGTGGTCCGCGCTCTATCTGTACAAATGCTTTTCCAATTCGCATCAACAAAGGGTATAATATGGTCCTTTTTGTTAAAAAAGAATCGATCAGGACGCCATTCGTGTTCCATGAGATGTGAGTTTTTACTAGTGTACAACGCTCGATCAGGTCCATTTTCGCGTACAACTTCTTGTAATATCAAGTTTGCGATGGCTGTCCAACAGATATCTTTCCATGAAGCTGTAATACGTTCAAAGAATTCTTCGTCCCTACACATTGCACACTGGAAGTTATAGTTTGTCATAAAGGGCAGCGCGTGCGAGATTGGCTTTTGAAGGCAGTTGACATGATACCAATTTCGGCATCCTGTCGATAAATGAAAGGTGAGTTGAAGCAACGATTGTCTACGTATGAATGAGGTACATACTTCGGCATTGTATATTTGGTTCTAGTAAGCTGCGATCTCTACCACAGTAGCAATAAGAGTGCTCTTCATTGACCGTGTGGTGGGTATTCCACGTCAATGCGGATGGGTCCATTTGACCAGGAACGGAGTTGGCCATACGGGAAGGGTAGACAGCTTTTTTTCGAAGTTTTTAAAAAAAAAATTATTTCCTGACATGTTAAATATCTTTGAAGTTCAATAGCTGTCCATCACACAAACATGCCGAAATCAGTACGAGATTCGAAGAAAGCTGCAGCCGCTCCGTATAAGAAAGGAGGGAAGTTAGCGAATGCTCAACCCAAGAAGTCTGTTGTTGCCCAAAAGCAAATGAACAAGAAGGGCATGAAGTTCCGAAATGAGGCTCTTGCAGATCAGATTGACGATCTCTTTACGGAAGCTAGTAGCAAAATCCCCAAGACGAAAAAAAAAGTGGTTGATCATGAAAAGGTGGGTAGACATTCTGTACTGTATCTTCTCAATCGTTGAATTGGTTCTAAGAGTCGTCCACAATGTAGAAAGCACAGGAAGTGGAAGCAGCTCAAAAGAAGTACGAAGAACTTCAAACAGACATGGACGATGCGCTGGCGCAGATCACTAAGCTTTAAGCGAACTATAGCCGAGAAACGAAAATTATATACCTGTTTTATCATCAAATGATTTCAAGCATTAATGAACTCAAGATGGCATTTAATACGTGCCAGCCAGTGACCATCACCTACATACACCATCACATCCTATTAACCAAATCCTGAGTATTCTTGACCAGTATCACGGAATAATGTGTAGACATTAGATGGCTAGATTGCTTAAAGCATGTTTTATTTTGTTAGACGAATAAAAATGTAAAAAGAAAAAAGTGAAATTGATCAGCAGTTTTCAAAACACGTAAATTGAAGCGATCAATTGAAATAAAGGCCAAAGTCAGAGTCCAGGCAAGATCAGGTACTTTAGAAGCACTTGCGGTGGACAATGGAAGGACCGGACTCATCGTATTCCTATTGAAAATTACAGTTTAGTTTACAAGAATTCACACGTAGCCCAACATGAAATCATAATTACCTGTTTGCTGACCCACATCTGTTGGAAGGTAGAGAGAGAAGCAAGGATAGAACCACCGATCCAGACAGAGTACTTACGCTCTGGGGGAGCAACAATCTTGATCTTCATGGAGCTAGGAGCCAAAGCGGTAATCTCCTTCTGCATACGGTCGGCAATACCGGGGTACATGGTGGTACCACCGGACATGACGATGTTGGAGTACAAGTCCTTACGGATATCGACATCACACTTCATGATAGAGTTGTAGGTAGTCTCGTGGATACCAGAGGATTCCAATCCGATAAGAGAGGGCTGGAAGAGAGCTTCAGGAGCACGGAAGCTGTGATGGGGCAAAAGGGGTGTTAAGTACGTACGGATATGGACTCCTCCACCAAGAAAGTATATATCACATTCTCCCACTTTGGTACTTACCGCTCGTTTCCGACAGTGATGACTTGACCATCAGGAAGTTCGTAGGACTTCTCGAGAGCAGAGGACTGAGCAGCAGTTTGCATCTCTTGCTCAAAGTCCAAAGCGACGTAGCAGAGCTTTTCCTTGATATCACGAACAATTTCACGCTCGGCAGTGGTGGTGAAAGTGTGTCCACGCTCAGCAAGGATGCGCATCAAGTAGTCAGTCAAGTCGCGACCAGCCAAGTCAAGACGAAGGATAGCGTGGGGAAGAGAGTAACCTTCGTAAATGGGGACAGTGTGGGAAACACCATCACCAGAATCAAGAACGATACCGGTGGTACGACCAGAGGCATAGAGAGACAAGACAGCCTGGATAGAGACGTAGAAAGCAGGAGAGTTGAAGGTCTCAAACATGATCTGGGTCATCTTTTCGCGGTTAGACTTGGGGTTGAGAGGAGCCTCAGTGAGCAAGACGGGATGTTCCTCAGGAGCAACACGAAGTTCGTTGTAGAAAGTGTGATGCCAGATCTTCTCCATATCGTCCCAGTTGGTGACGATACCGTGCTCAATAGGATAACGGAGGGTCAGGATACCACGCTTGGACTGAGCTTCGTCACCAACGTATGAGTCCTTTTGTCCCATACCGACCATAACACCTTGATGGCGAGGGCGGCCTACGATTGAGGGGAAAACCTGAATAAAACAACCAAATCAGTCTACATCTTCAAGATGCCGCATCATCCTGACGAAACGTTCCTGCGAAACTTACAGCGCGAGGGGCGTCATCGCCAGCAAAACCGGCTTTGCACATTCCAGATCCATTGTCGATAACAAGCTACAAAGAGAGGTAGAAATGCGTGAGATCAGGGCAGTACAACTGTTAATTCGCAGTGAAAACTTACAGCAGCAACTTCGTCCTCCATGATTGATAGTAAAGATATCCACTTCTCGTAAAGCTGTCAATGACTGATTTCCAAATAGGCGATTTTTACAATACCGTAGTATATAAGACATATTCTGAAACGTGCCAGAAGGAAAACTTGGGTGATGACGTAGAAGACACCCTTTACCACGAGCTCAGCAGTAGAGAAACTCGTAGAATGAGAGTCAACGAGCTGCAAAATACTTCCGTTAGGTACTGTTGCCTCGCTGCATACCATAGCCTGTATGAGTCACTCGTGAAGGATCCTGCTTGCAAGTCGTCGCGGTAATACGTCATGCGTACCCGCACCACAAACTTTTCAGCCAATCGTCAACAAGGCAAGTATTTTATCCGCTCAAGCAAGCCTTACGATGTACAAAGGCGGCGCTGCTCAGATGAAAAAATGTTCACATATTTGATCCATTTTTTCAAAACTATGTTGTTACTGTACGCGTATCTCAAATAAATGATAATGAGTGCTTGCTTCTGAAAGACCTAAGCATAGTTTCTTGAAATTTTCACTGATGCAAAAAAAAAAGGCATTGTGTACCCGGCCACGAACCCTGCAAAAGGAAAGATCACAGCCGAGGAAAAACATATAAATACTGTGGGTGAGATTGACTGTCTGTTTGTTCACCAAACAATGACTATTGAAACTTTTGAAATACCGAGCTTCACGCCCGAACAGCGACAGAAGCTGGATGAAAAGCTCAGCGATATCATCTATCCGCATGAATTCGAAAAAAATGTCGGGTGGACGTATGGTGCTCCAAGATGGGCCGTTGAACCTATGGTAAATGCATGGCGCAACGAATTTGATTGGGAAGAGTCAAGGAAGGAGATGGCCCGCTGGCACCACCTCAAGGTAAACATTGATGGCGTTCGGATCCACTGTGTGAATGAAACTTCACAACAGCCTGGAGCTATTCCCATTATGCTTCTACACGGGTGGCCTTCAACGTTCTATGAATACCACAAAGTCATTGACCCGCTCAGAGATGGTGCTGAAGGTGCACAGGTAACTATTTACTAGCCATTGCAAGGTGGATGGCGATACTGTCATTAACACATTACAGGCATATCATGTCGTGGTTCCTAGCTTGCCCGGATATGGATTCTCGGATCCTACGCCTACACCTGGATGGGGAGTTGCAAAATGTGCGGAGACGTTGCATAAGTTGATGCTGGAGTTGGGGTACAGCAAGTACGGTACGTTCTGCGAAGATGAGATTGTTGTTGTAAATATTGGGTAGAGCTGCATGTACTCATATCATGTATAGTTGTTCATGGAACGGACTGGGGTGCCGTCCTTGGAATGCATATTGCTACCAATTATACTGCCAACTGCAAAGCTTATCATACAAATTTTATGTTGGTCATGCCTCCCATACCCACTCTTAGCAACATCGTAACGCAGCCAGTGCGAGTGGCAAAGTTTTTGGCCTGTATGCTTCTTGGTGGCGATGCGATTTACGGAAAAGACAAACTCAGAGTGCTCGGCCGCTCATTTGCGGATATCGACCGCGATCGTGACTCAGGTTACCGTGCTATCCAAGGGACGAAACCTTATAGTCTCTCCTATGGTTTGAGTGACAGCCCTGTTGGCCTATTAGGTAAGTTATTGAGTATCATAAACTTTTACACAGAACATCACACAGTGCATAGCATAAACGAATAAGATCAACTACCTCTGCAGCTTGGTTATTGGAAAAATATCATAACTGGACTACTCATACTGGCGACAAGGAGTCGTCAGTGTTACCACCCACCATCGATGTCAAAGAATTTTTGACTCAGGTCACCATCTACTGGTTGACAAACAGTATTTCCTCATCAATGCGACTCTATTACGAACGACTTGTTGAGCCAAACATGGACAGAGCTTTTTCCACCAAAGTGACAATTCCAACTGCTGTTTCTTCGTTCCCAGATGAGGTGTCCAAGGTATGTCAGTTGAATGATGAGGTACACAGAATACTAATGGCTAAGTACAGAACTTTGCTATCTTACTAGATGCCTAGAGAGTGGGTTGATTCACAGGTCAACTTGGTCCAATATGAAGAACATCCTAGCGTGAGTAGATGAAGTGCTTTTTCTCACATGCAGTACGGTACTAAACGAGAGATCATCTAGGGAGGGCACTTTGCTGCTTTGGAAGAGCCACAGCTACTGACCCATGACATCCAACGATTTGGCAAGAAGATTTCGGCCGATTTGCAATAACCATGTATTAACCACAATGCAACAAAAACAGACAATTGAGTTTCAGTGGTTCATCAGATGTCTTAGGAAGCATGATTTATTCAAGTAAATAAAAGTGGTATATATCTCTGTCAACTCTTCAAGCTGTGACAGCATGTATATGCAAACGCATACACTATTCCACAATTCGATTTCGTAGAAATTCCATAATCGACTCCGTACCAGCTACAAGAGTAGCACGTCGAGGCACACGGAAGCTAAGAGAAATTCAAGTCCATAGTTAGCACCGAAGAGTGGTCATCGCAAAGGCTCAACACCAGAGTCAAACTTACCAGTTTCCGTCCAAATTCAGTTCCTTGATGCTTGTTACTCTACCTAGTAGCGGAGGCACTTGTGAAATGTCATTATTCCCAAGATCAAGGACTCGGATTCCAGGAAAACTGTCTGGGTCGATGGTTGTAATTTTGTTTGTGTTGACACTGAGGTTGGTAAGACCAGGAAGGTATTCAGTGAGACGAGCCGGGACTTCCTTCAACCGGTTGCAACTTAAGTTGAGATTTGTTAGCAGTGGTGCAAGGTTTTCCTGTGTAATCGTGAAGATTTGAATTTGGTTGTTGCTGAGATTCAGCTCTTTCAGCGCTGGAAGCTGAAAGTTAAGCTCGAACTTGGTCAACTTATTGCGATGCAACGACAGAGTAACCAATGTTGAGGAGAAATGTGTCAACGATGAAGGAAACTCGCTCAACAAATTTTGATCTACAGTCATGGTGTGAGTATATTTGAAGTCTGCATGGTGAGCAGGAAGGAAACCTCTTCTTACCAAATCGGATGTGAGCAACAGCAAAGTCAACGCTTTCAGCCATTTCAGTTGAAAACTCTTGCAATTGCTGCTTTGTCAAATCCAAAGTCTTGTTCTTAACATTTTGGGGATCTGCTGCTAGTGTCGAATTTTTGGATGGTATAATAGGACTTGCGTCAGCATGTGAATCACCAAGTTGCATATTTCGCAATTTAGTGTTGGTCTCCAGCACAGAGTCGCCTGTTTCATATAGTTAGCTTTCCAACCTTAAAGTCATGAAAAATATGAAGCCATTGTCGCCCATACCTCCGCTTTTCAAACTGTCACGCAATGATTTTAAAACATCCATTGATCCTGACATGTTCCTTGGTGGAGACCGCAGCGGGTTTCCTTCCCAGCTGATGACCTGCAAGTTTGGCATGGCTCCAAGACCAACGGGTAAGGATTTCAATTGATTGCTACTGAAATCCAAACGCTTCAGACTCTGCAATTGGAGTATCGAACTGGGTATATCTTCAAACACATTACTCGATATATCAATGATAGACAGATTGACAGCCGCCATCTCTACATTATCTAGCTGGTTTAGACGATTACGGCTCAACAAAAGCTCATACAGATCCTTCAGAGATGCATCAGCGCCGAATGAAAGCACTTGAAGCTTATTGTGATGAAGGTCAATTCTTTTAAGGTGTAGCTTTCCATCTGGCTCTTCTTGTTAGTCTCCCATTCATAAAGTCATACCGCATACTTGAAAATATGATATAACTTACTTATGATCAATTTCTGAAGACTATTATTTGCCAACTCCAAGTCTTCTAGTCTATCGCCGAACGTTGACAGCATCCCATTAGGGAGGTCAGAAAGTTTGTTACCATTGGCAAGTAAGCGACGTAAGGAAACTAGACTTTCCATCTCTTGCGGTAAGCGCGTCAGGAGATTATCGTTTACGTTTAATGTGTCCAATGACGTCCAATTGGCTATATTGGGATCGAAGGATTGGATCTTGTTTCCTGCCAAATTAAGCTCTTTCAGCTTTTCGAGACTGTAGAGCTGAACAGGAATCGCTTCGAATCCATTAGCGGAAAGGTTGACGTATGTAATGTTTTTCAGATTTCCAAATGTATTCGGTAGACTTGTCAGCCGATTGTTATGGAGCTATCATGGGATTAGAATATTGATCTAGGATGACAACAACAGAATTGCGACAATAACTTACATCCACATGGCGAAGGGCAAGAAATTCTTCACCTATTCTCTCACTGATGGTACTAAGCTGGTTGTCAGCAGCTATAAAGCGAGTCAACTCTTCCAGATCAGACCAAGCGTCACTACCGCCACTCAGGTCGATTGTGATAGCGTTTGGATCAACATGATACCTGTTCCGATACATAGAGCCCATAAGTTTGTTGATCGTGGATTTCACACCGTTTCACATTAACACCTACATATTCCACACCGCGTCGGGAATCTCATCCAGATTTCGGTTTGAAATATTTAGTTTACCGCTTGACTTGGCTTGCTTGATCATTGTTTCGATTTTGCTTGTGCGTGGTGGAGTGTGACCAAAGGCTTCTCCACGGTCTAACGTGTCATCCCAGCTATAGCTTGGGGCTTCTTTAAATGGCATTGGAACCTTGGGTGGTCTTTTGGAAGCCTTCAACTTGTCTTGGTCCTGCTGTGCCTTTATTTTGGCCCTTTGCTGAGCCATGAAATCTCTAACACCGGATGACGGCTTTGTCGGCATGGCGCTGGATGTACCTCTTGCCGCGCGGGGTGAGGAATTCGACGTAGAGGCATTGTCGCCTTGATTGGCTACGCTCGACGTCGGTCGTGGATGCCCACGGCTTGGAATCGTCATTGTCTGAGTTGTGCGGTTGCAGAAAAAAAAGGACGACTATCATTTTTGCGACTGTGGTATCATTAAAAAAGTTTATTGTACAATTCTAAAGCATCTACTTTAACATAAAATATTAGTCTAATTCGTTATCACTTTGGAGATACCTAGTAACTTGACTAGCTTCTTCTGTTCCTTGACGATCTTTTCCACTTCCTCCAGCAGATTGGCCTGCTGGGGCTGTTCTAATGATTGAAGTTGATCTACCAACCGTTGCGCAATATCCAGCATGTTACTGATTTGCTGCAAGTTTATTCTGGCTTTTGCCTTGTCAGGAATGACATCGGGATGAAATGCATTGTTGGATGGTATAGTGATTGGTTCATGTGACGGAGTAACTACCGGCGGTGTCCAGTGCACCGGGGTGGGTCGTGGTATGGTAGCCAAAACACTGGCATATCGTACTTGTCTGCACAATGGTCTAGTAATAGTGGTTGATAGATTATACATGGAGGGTTATCAGGTACAGATAATTAAAAAAAAAAAAAGCCTGTTTCATGAACATCAAATCATTTTATATAATTTGAGGCATCGTCAGCTGCACCAATCATTTGTCATTTGCCAAAACCCACCTGAGACCCGAAAAACCAAGTATTAACAAAATCTTCCAAACCAGATATCATTTGCGTTTGATATGAGGTTGGACTACATCAAAACAATATTTACCTTCACCACTAACAGCAGACGAAGTATTTTTGTATTATTTGTATTATAGACACTTTTCAAATGTAAGGATGTAACATCTCGTTGGTGCTTATCGCGCCTTATGCAATATCTTTATCATCAAAATCGTCCTGAAAATCTAAGTGCAAGAAAGGAGAGTTGGTGTGAGCTCATAGAATAAGTGGAAACTGAAGGTTTGATGACGAATGGCACTGGACCATAATTGGGGAGAAATTTAGCAGAGCAATCCATACCATTAAAAAAGCCTTTGTGTACGAGTTTTTCGTTCTGTATAGTCATGCGGTCTTCGTCTTCATGATCATCATCGAGCACTATTTGAGATCCTCGTCGTGACCAGTCTCCTTCCTGGTCCGTGAATCCAGCATCCTCAATCATAGGATCGTCAAATCCCTCTAAAGTTACTAGTCAGCTTTCCGCTAGCGGTAGTTGCGTTGCAAAGTGGGAAATTCCCGCTTACCATCACCATTCACGTCCCAGTGGGTATCGCTCATTCTATGCTTTCGTAAGTTTGATGAGGAGGAGACTTTTTGCTGTTCAATTGGGGGCAAGTGGTTGGAAGTTGACGAATCGCCCTCGTCCTTGTTCATACAATGCAGCAGGTGGTGTCTGGCTTCGGAGAGGGAATTTGAAGAGGTGGCTGGCTTCCACAAATAGCAGTCCGGTCGATTGGAAATTAACAGTGGCAATCTTGAAACCTGTGCAATGTCTATTCATACAGCAACATACTTCAAATTTGGCCAGAAGGGGAGCATCAATAAAGGTGAACGCCTTTGATATTTTATTAAATAACAATTTTTTGGGTCTATTTTCCTTTGTAAACTGGCGCACGTTTTTCGCGGAATGCCATCAAACCTTCCATTCTATCCTCAGTAGGTATGACTTGAGCATAATAGGCTTGTTCAATTTCTAGGCCAGTATCACTGCATGCGCACGACAATCGATGAGTTCATCTACTCACGTTCAATATTGTTCTTTTTTTTCGTCTACTTACATGTCTGCTTGAAGACCTTTGTCAATGGCCATCTTGGCCATGCGCATAGCAATAGGACCCTGAGGAAGCATGCTCTCAGCCAGTGACAATGCTTTTGGGTAAGAACTTTCTTCTGTTGCGTAATTTACAATACCTACGGAGTGGATCTCGTTGAGCATGCGAACCAATAATCTATTCTATGGTGGTATGGCAGGTTTCAATTACCGCATTCAAAGGCGCCTTGAGCAGTAAGGGTCGCACTGGTAAAGATCAACTCTTTCGCTTTGGCTGAACCAATCAAACGAGGAAGGCGCTGGGTACCGCCTGCACTATAAAGTAGCTGCAACATCAGTATTCTGCTGTGAATAAAAAAATTCCTATAAAGTGTACATACCCCGGAATGATAGCTAATCTAGTCTCTGGTAATCCAATCTTTGCCTTGGCGCCTATGGTGTGATCACTAGGTTAGACACGCATAATTCTTGCTATATTCGTGATACACTATTTCTCACTCCGTACCAGCAACTCTTAAATCGCATGACAATGCCATTTCTAAACCTCCGCCTAAAGCAGCTCCGTCGATCACAGCTATGGTTGGGATGGGCAAAGTCTAGTTTCGATTCAATGCAATTTAGTCAACTAAGAGGCTCTAGAAATTGAAACTTTTTTCAATCGACCAATTGGACCCATACTCACCTCCAGTTCTCTATACGCCTGTCTCAAATTATATAGGAATTCGGTGACCTGTGGTGGCGACATCCCCGCACGTTCCTATAAATATGAAATATTGAACAACTAATTCGCTATGTAGCCTTCTCACACATCAGTGAACCGCCCTTTTACCTTCAAGTCTGCGCCGGCGCAGAATACTCCATCCACCAAGCTATTCAGGATCAACACTCGAGGTACCTCACTAACATAATAAAGATCATTGACCAAATCAATGAATCAGACGTAAAATTATAATTCAGCTCAAACGGTATCATCCGCATACCTAGAAAATCTAGCTTCTTTAAGTGCTTCCCTGAACTCTTGTAGAAACTTGACCGAGATAGCATTTTTGGCTTTGGGACGGTTGAGGTTAAGAACAGCAATGCCTTTAGAAGAGCCATCGAGCATTTCCAAGTAAACGTCTTTTTCGGCCGATACAGCCGAGGTATTGAGCCATCTCGAGTTGAAGATGGGCTGAATGCGCGTTACAGGACGAAGTAGACGAATGGATTTGAACATGGTGAAGGCAGATAATCGTGGGAAAGCTGGACGCGATGATTTGGCTGGTAGAAATACAGCCCTTCTAACAACATGTAGTAGATCACATGCAACGCTCGGAACGGTAGTAAGCGGGCCATGTTTTGATTGGATGCAATTTATATATCAGATTATCATGACCGGCTGCTATTGGCTGATATTGTGGCATAAGTTTTAAGGCACAACCCCCACAAGCGTTTTAAACTCCCCACATTCAGCCAGCCAGGCTGCAATATCAAAACCTTCGTTTCTCGTTTTCCCTTCCTCTTCCCTCTTCCTTCACTTTACTCAACATGCTTTCTGTTGCTGCTCGTTCTCGCACAGCCATCTCTGTAGCAAGCTCTCGCTCTTTCCTTTCTACATGGTCTGCAGTTCCTCAAGGTATCATTCGCTGTTTTCTTTTTTATTTGACTTGCCCAGGCCCCGAACAATCGTGTACTGACACGCTGTCCCAAAAACAGGCCCTCCCGATGCCATTCTCGGTGTCACTGATGCTTTCAAGAAGGATAATGATCCTCGCAAGATGAACTTGGGTGTTGGTGCCTACCGTGATGATAATGGCAAGCCTTTTGTTTTGAGTTCCGTTCGCAAGGTAGATACACAAAGTAGATTTTGACTTTCTGTGTGGCCGGAAAAATACTTATTACCCCATTTAAACCCGCTTGTTCATTAGGCCGATAAAATTATCCTCGAGAAGGGTCTTGACAAGGAATATGCTGGCATTACTGGTTTGCCCGATTTCACCAAGGCTGCCGGTGAGCTCGCTTATGGTGAAGACAGCGCTCCCATCAAGGAGAATCGCGTAGGTTTTTTTATTTATTTAGTATATTTTGATGACTATGCAGCGTGTGGACACAGAAATTCTAACACTAAAATTCAATATCCGTGACTCATCGGCATTCTAGTTGGCTATCACCCAATCCATCTCTGGAACTGGAGCACTTCGTATTGGTGCTGCTTTCTTGAGCAAGTGGTATCCCCATGCCAAGAAGATCTTCCTTCCCAATCCTACCTGGGGTAACCACATCCCGATTTTCGGTGACTCTGGTATGCAGGTCGAGAAGTACCGTTACTTTGACAAGTCTACCAATGGATTGGACTTCGGCGGTATGATTGATGATCTCAAGGTTTGTTAATTTACGCAAATATGTTTGAAGGATTAGATAAGTATAGAATCTGACCCTCTTTCCATGTTATTTGTTATGATTTGGTTCTGGTTTTCTCTAGAATGCTCCCAAGAACTCAGTTGTTTTGCTCCACGCTTGTGCCCATAACCCCACTGGTGTTGACCCTACTCAAGAGCAATGGGATGAGATTGCTCAAGTCGTCAAGGTAAGACCGAGATCCCGAAGTTGGGCCAATGGTGAATTCATGAATGTGTAAGTGTTCTAACCAGGTCGCGCCACAAATAGGAACGTGAGCACTTCTCTTTCTTCGACATGGCTTACCAAGGTTTCGCCTCTGGTGACTGCACTCGCGACGCTTATGCCCTTCGCAAGTTCGTTGATGGCAACCACCCCGTTGTCCTCTCTCAATCCTTCGCCAAGAACATGGGTCTCTATGGTGAACGTGTTGGTGCTTTCTCTGTTGTCTGCGGTGACGCTGAGGAGAAGGCTCGTGTCGACTCTCAAGTCAAGATTTTGATTCGCCCCATGTACTCCAACCCTCCCATCAACGGTGCTCGTCTCGTCAGCACTGTTTTGAACACTCCTGAATTGAAGCAGGAATGGCTCGGTGAAGTCAAGACCATGGCTGATCGTATCATTGACATGAGACACAAGTTGAGAAACCACCTTGAAAACGACTTTGGTTCCAAGGTCCACTGGAGCCACATCACCGACCAAATCGGTATGTTCTGTTACACTGGTTTGAAGCCTGAGCAAGTTGACAAGCTCCGTGATGACTGGCACGTCTACCTTACCCGTGACGGTCGTATCTCCATCGCTGGTATCTCTTCCCACAACGTCAAGTACCTTGCTGAGGCCATCCACAACGTCACCAAATAAGTGCAGCAATTGATATATGAAGAAAAGGAACATCCCCCACTCTGACCATACACTCTAAAAAAATGCTAGTTAGGATACAGTTTCGATATGGATACAGTTTTGAATGATTAATTGTATATTTCCTCCTCCTTTTCTATTAGTACATCTTTTGTTTTGTGGTACAAAAAGAACTAAAACATAACGAAATTACTCCTGCTGTAGATCAGTAGAACAAAATCATCCTGCCTGTCTAAATTATATCCTAATTCTGTCCGAGGAATCCTTTTAAGACATTGACTGTAAAATCGCCCAGTTTGGGTACAGTGTACCCGCCTTCTTGAACGAATAATGTCGGTCTACCACTGGTGCCTTTCGCTGTTGCCAATACCTTGCCCATCTGTGTGTATGCGTTGGCGTCCGAGAAATGAATGACTCCGCCAACTGGATCTTCACACCAAGTGTCAAATCCAAGGGATACAACCACCACGTCGGCTTTATACTGTACGACAGCATCGCTTTCCAGAACCGCCTTAAGTTTTTCCAAGTATTCTTCGTGCGTAGTGTTGGCTGCATCGATAGGAATGTTGATATTGTAGCCTTCACCTTTACCAACGCCAACTTCTTGAGCGGATCCAGTGAAGTAAGGATAATCTGGATAAGCGTGTAGTGAGACATAGAAGACATTATCGGTATCGTAGAACATGCTTTGTGTCCCATTTCCACTACATCATGGACAGGGTTAAGTATATGATTAGTACATAGTGGTAACTTGCCGCGTCGCCTCCAATTTAAGCTTGGCAATTTACGACTTACTGGTGGTAATCAACATCCACTATCAAAACCTTTTTCTTGACTTCCAAACCACCGGTAATGGTTTGCTCTTCGCCTTCCAACAACTTCTTTGCAGATTGTAGATCATGGTCGTTGAAAAACTGTGCAGCAATGGCGGCATTGTTAAGGTAACAGAAGCCGCCAGATGCTGCTTTGCAAGCGTGATGTCCCGGCGGTCGGCAGAGCGCATAAGTTGCAACAGGCTCGTTACCACCACTTTGCTCTAGTTCCAATAAACGATATGCAGCAGTCAAGGCGACATTTGCAGAAGTAATGGCAGCTCTCCAAGTGCCTATTCATGACTAATATCAACCTACAGGTAACTCAGAATTGAAATCCATAAGATATGGCACATACCATCCACAATCATGGTCCCCAAATCAAAAGCATAGGTTGACACTTTGGCTTCTATGGAGCTGTTGATCGACGCCCTCCATGTCTGGCTGGGTAGGTGTTCGACTAGAGCAGGGTGTGGGAAACTGTCGGGCAATACGCCAATCGGTGTACGACCGGCGGACACCCATTCTTCATAAGCAGTTTGGAGATAGGCAACAAATTCAGGACTATGGACCCGTAAAATAGGAGCTAGGCTAAAGTCTCGGTGTGGGATCAAATTGAAAACGTTTGGTTCCTTGATAAGCGCAGCGTGGATTGATACAAGACGCGCTGGGGATTCTACAATTGGAAGAGAAGCCGATATCAGGTACTTTATCAGGGCAGGTTGAACCCATCAACGCGATATACAAAACATACCACTATGTGGTTGCCAGCGCCCTGAACTAACTTCAAATGGGGGATTATGGGAAAGACAGATTTCTGAATATACAAAGTCCATGCTGTGAGGGAAGATAGAGCGAAAGAAAGAACGGAAGAAACAAACCGCTTGTCACCGCATGCAATTTTAAATGGTCTCGTGATAAAAGGCTTTATTGCCTTGCATAGCGGAAGCCAATGAAAAAAGCGACTGTATTCAATAGCAGTTGGGTTGCTGCTATTCAATTCATATCTTCTATATCTTTGGTTAAATATGCTGTGAATCTATGAAGGCATATAATGAGAGATCTTCCGACGCTTCACAACTCTTGCATTACGTTCGACTCATTCTCAGCAAATAATTCCTGCTTTCGTTGTTTGCCATTGCCGCCATGGTCAGAGCAAAGCCGATTCATGAGGAAGCTTTTATTTCAGTACAGTCACAAATCAACCACATAGCAAGCACTATAGATCATATAAATCATATATCTCTCCAGGACTGCAGCAATAATAGAAATTCAAATACGATATATTAACTTAGCTGTGCTTTGATTTCAATACTTTGGTTTTACTCTTTTGACAACGAAAAAAAAATGTTTACAGAAATACAGTGTGGATAGACTTATGAAGGCAAGGTTCCTCGCAACGGTGGTAACGAAGGAGTGGGGGTTGAATGTGCGGGGGCAAAGTAGTCGTCATCGTACGAAGCTTTGGACTTTTGCTTAGGTGCTGGCAGTGGTGGGGGTAACATTTGCTGCTCCTGTGTTGGTGGTTGAGCAGTGATATTGGAACCAGAGGGAAACTGAGCACTTTGCTTTAAATATTGTTTGACGACATCGCAATCGCAATTTCCGTGAGCTAAAAGTTGATTTTTTAAAAACATGGCTTCTTCCTTCAGTTGATTGACCATACTGTATAGCTTCTTGTTGTCTTCTATGACCTTATCTGATCTTTCCTCAAGTTCAGTGATCCAAGCTTTTTTCTTTTGTCTGCATTTGGATGCTAGCATTCAGAGAATATGTTAAGTTTTGTGACAAAATTTAGCTGTCATTGAAAGAGTATATGCTTACCTGCTACACGGTTTCGTTCAAGGAACCGTTGTCGTCTCTCAACGGCTTCTTCACCATCATCAGAGCTATGACGCTTTCGGTCCATGTTGAAGTCTGAGATATCAGATAAACCAGATTTATCTTTATTACGTCGAGATTTTGTATTTGGTTGACCATTTTCTTGTTTAATGATCAGAGTAGAATTGTTACTTGAAGCAGGCATGGACGTATGCTGTGCTGGCTTCGATGGCTGATATGAATGGAACGAAAATTGATGTGGCTGAGAGCGTTGTGCTCGTGTTTTGGTGACAGTAGTGGGTGCTGGCTGCGGTTGTTTGGTCGATTGTTTTTGCTGTAATTGCCGCTGCTTCTTCAATTGTTGGCTTTCAATCTCAACTGCTTTCGTAAGCGCCTTCATCCCTGTTGCTTGTTCACCAGAGGTCGCAGAACTTTCAGAATTCAATGACGAATTTGACGATACACCTACTCGATTGGTATCTTGCGACCTGCGCTGATTGGCTTTCTGTTGAGGAGGGGTGAGTGGGGTATCTGATTTCTTTTCGTCGTTGTCAGTGTTGATGGTTTTGGCCGGTAGGTATTCCTTTGAAGTCGGTGGAGTAGGTGGGGAATTTTGCTTCGATGTTGAATTATTTTCTTTTGCCTTTTGAACTCCAATGTAATCAAAGGGGTTCATCTCGTTGGCAAAGGTACTAAGTGATGGCGTAAAGTTCCATTCTCCACACTCCATAAGAAATCGAGTGGGTGTAGATATAATTCCATCTACAGTTTACATAGAGCGTTAGCAAGAAATAAAAGCAGGAGGTACTTCCTCCTTGTAATGTCCCTTATATAGGACTAGTTTCCAAGAAGTGATGCATTTATGAAAGAAACGTTTGTTACTAAATACTTTACCTTGACTTTCACTTCCAGTTACTTGAAGTAGCGAAGTTGACGACATGGCGGTTCGGGTCGACGATTGTTCCAGTTCGGATCAGTTGAAGCTTGAGTTAGAGTAAATGATAATGAAATTAAAAAAGCAGAAAAATAATAACGATAACAAAAAGAACGATATCGTTTCGCTCCAGGTTCAAAGTAATCGTTATGTGCGATGAAGTCGTGGTAGCTGGGATTTAACATTGTCATCATAACGTCATTCCCTAAAGCAGCAGCCAATCATATCTCGTAGCTGTAAAGTGGTCCTTGAATTTTTGAAATGATGGGGATGGGGTTGTGACTTTTCCACTAGTTGCGCCGCCCACGAATCTTTTCAGCATTCGGTGAATTAAGGGAAATCTCATATTGCACAAACTCTTCATATTGCGTCAATTCGAAGATATAAACTATGCAGAGCTGCAATTGAGAAGGAAAGACTTTTGTTCACTCATTCCAGCTTATTGCACATTAAGAAGAAATTCTTGCAGCATTTGAATTTTTTTGATCTTTCATTTGCCTATTTGCTTTCATAGTTTTCTGTATAATGAGAACATCAACTTTGAAAAGCACATTTTGTGCATAAGAAGATTGTGCACGTGACTTGATTGACACTTGTGCCTTTTTTCATCTTTTTT